CATAGATTGAGATGGCTAGGTCACGTGCTGCGCATGCCTAACCATCGCCTCCCCCGACGGGCATTACTAGCTAGCTGATATAGGTGCAGGTTGGAAAAGGGTAAGTGGTGGCCAAACAAAAACATGGCATCAATCCATGAAATCCTTGACAGTTAAACTGAGTAAGGTAGGGAGATGCAGACTTCCGGGTTGGGGCCCTCGGGACTCTAGGAATCAATGGCTGGAGACAATAGGTGACATGGCTCAAAGTCGTTGTCAATGGTCAGCGCAGATGTATTCAGTCTCTGTAATCTTTCATATTCCTTTCTACCATTACCCATTCTGTTTCACTCTTATACTTGTCAGACTGTATTGATTCTCTTCACTCATCTTCTTGTCTACCTTTGTGTGCTATTTGGAACGTGGCAGCTCGAAGTGCTGCACTTCGGTTCCAAGTTCTATGTTGAATCCAGACAGACAGATGAATAACTAGTAATTCTAGAGCTAATATGCGGAATTATGCACAGACGCCTAGGGAAACAGGTTCATTTATTAGAAAAGAACCACTTTTTATCGTTATAACACTGGGAAAATTACTCTGCGGTCGTGGTTGCAGATACACTTCAATGATGAGTGACAGGAGATATAAAATTCTATTGCCAATACTAGTTTTTCCAACTTACATTTTACACACAAAGCTGAAATAGAAGTGCATGGTTGTACAAAGCGGGGTTTGTTACTTTAATGTAAGTGTAGGATTTAGGCACTGTAGTAGAATATAACTCAATATTAGATCAGCTTATATAATAACTGAATGAGCACAATTTATTACTCACAATAATATCACTGATATCAATTATGCTTGAAACGTCATCCAGTTATCAATATTTTATCACTGTGAATTTTATGAAATAAACTTATCTAATATGGAATTTTGTCACCATATATGTCTAACAACCCTGTCGCTTGATCGATAGTCTTCGATCAACACCTAGGGCTAAATAGAAACATTGATTACCATCACGTGACCACTTTTTTTAGACTTTCTGTTTTCATAAATTGCACATTATCATACGAAAATAACACTGTCAGAATACTAGCTAACCTGTATAGTTCAGAAATACACTAATGCAATAGAACGGTAGACGGAGAAATAAAACCCACTCATGAATGTATATCTTTAACCAAGTCACTAACAAAGTGAAACATGTTTGGTAACAGATTTATGTCAGTTAGAGAACCATTGAAAACTTGGGAACACTGGTCGCGCTGTATATCACAAATTGACCAAAGTTAGAATTCATGCGAGACCATTGGATTCTGGCTCAAATGGTTGGATGGTAAATGAGCTTGGCCTCGTAACCTGAAGCTTCTGCCTTCGACTTCTGTTGGGTTGGGTCATGGGTGTGTACTACGCAAGAGTCCAAGAATAAAACAAACTAGCTGTCCAATATCCCCAGGCTTTTAATGGTTCTTTTATTTATTTATTTATTTATTTATTTAAACGCATAAAAACTTGGTACAATATGGCATCAAGAAGGATGCGCCACACAATAATAATAAAACAACATAGATCAAAAGAAAAAAAGAAGAGAAATATATATATATTTATATATAAAGAGAACGGATAAAAAACATCTGGAGGGAAAACAGTCATGCTTAACAAGTTCAAACTATTCGTTAACTATCATCGGAAAGGGAAGAAAGAAGGAAACTGCAACACGTGTAATAGCACGCGATAAGTTTCATTGATTGTTTGTTGCTTTATTCAGTTCATTGTGTGAGGGCAGAGATACTACCCGGGTGCCCAGACCGAAGCAGGTGGTTTTATTAAGGGACCCACCCCCGAGTCTTTGACTTGGAGTCTAATCCGCAAGGCAGCGGATCAGCATCAGGAGCTGCATTCCCATGGTTGCCGGCTACCCATATGGGTTCATACGCCATTTGATCCGATTGGATATTGGAGCCCATGTACCCCATGGTAACTGCTTTAAGTTTAAACGCTATCCAAACAACCTTCCTGACATGGTAGGACCTGTAGGGACAGAGTCCCAGTCAGTTTAGCATGTTGGGTCATTACGGTATTCAAGCCCGACCACCACGACAAGGTAGCAGTTATCGGCCGCGAATGGTTCTCTTACTGATATAAATCCGTGATCAAAGATGAAACAAATTAAATCCCTGCCAACTGGCTCTTGAAAAGTGAGGCATGCTAAAAGAACGAAGAGTTACTAATATAAAGATTAGAATCGGCACTGTGGTAGAGTATAACTCCATTATGGATAAAATTTCTATTTTGATAAAATCAAACAGTATTATACGGTAATATTTACTGATGATGTTCCGAACACAAATTATTGCTCATAATTATATCAAGGTTCTCACACAACTTGCTTCATTTATAAACTTGAGTAAAAGTGATTAGACATTTGAATAAAATCAATATAAGATAAAGTACGTTTGAAAATAGTATGTGTTATCAATAAAATACAATAATATGGGAAATGAGATATTTTCATAATAAAATAAATAGCTTGTTAGAATGCTATGATGTGAACTGAATACATTTTGACATTATCATCCTTTGGTTTGACTGGTAATAATATCTTCAATATCTCTGGTATTCGCTAGGCTCACTGATAGATAAAAAGCGTGGCAGAAACAAATTACTGTTTATAAGATTTTCAGTTATTTGGATGGGTTCGAATTGTTAGGGTTACAATGGAAAACTCATGTATTGGAAAGCTTTTGAACGATGAGTTTCAGTAAAATTAAGAGATTCGGTAGGAAATAGCGATATCCTTTGATGATGTGGTTGCGTCCTGTAAACTGGTTAGTGATTTAACTGCGAAGCTCTTCATTTCATTTTAGACGCCATCTTCAGAGCAGGTTTTAGTATGAAGTGGACTTGTTTGAATTCTCCATGATTGATATAATTGTATTTTCTGACAATGTTTGTGTTGATTAGCTTCTAAATTACATGTCTGTTTGTTGACCATTTTTATTGACTTGGAACCTGAGCTTTCTTGTCATGTGGCTTATTCTGTATTCTGTAGCCGGTAAGTTGAGATACATAATAATGTGCCTATTATTAATGGCTGATTTATCTTGAGTACCAGGCATCTAGAAATTCTCTGTCACTTTTAGTGTCCCTACTGTTTAAAGTTTCTACATATTTCATGTCCAGTTGGTGTCCGTAGTGTGTTGTGTACATGCTTCATCAATATGAAGGAATGGATACCGGATCTTTTGACAGCTAGTTTAGTTTCTTGAATTCTCAGTCGAAGAGGATGCCCACCTGAGCTACAGATTTTCTTTGTTATTTCAGTAATGACATCTCCTAAAATTACCAGTGAAGAACCACGTGACTCCTGTATATAGATATAGGAAACTGCAAGTAAAATTTCCACGCAAATACGTCAATTCATGTTGTCATATTTCAAAATATTACGCATTAAAAAGAGCAGAATTTGTACAAAGTTCGACTGTTGGTGTGTTTTCATGGGCAAGTGGAACCCTTTAACTTGTACCATGAAACTAAAAATTCTTATAAACCCACCCCACTGCCACATTCCAGATATCACCTTAAATAGTTCTGATTTCCTACTCTATCAAATCAATTGGTAGAATAGAGAACTTTCTTCAGTCATATTTTGCATGTTTATATATATATATATAAATTACTCGTTCGAAAAGCATAAAATATTTACAAATATTAAGAAATAGGTATCCGCTTCTCCTAAGTGTGATCGTGTTACCCCTGAAAAAGTGCAGAAGGCCAGTTTATGTCTGTAGTAGGTTGAGTGAAAATAGGAAACTTATCAAAGGAATTAGAACTAATCTCATAGCGAAATACGGCACACAGCATAATAATGGACAATTCATAATAATAATAATAATAATAATAATAAAGTTCAAGGCTTCAGTGTTTGTCTGGTGATATTGTGGCATGAATATATTATGACAAAACAGAAATGGAATTCGTAAAATAAATAAAGCATAACTTTTAATATGTGACATGATTAGTATAATAGCAAGAATATTAATATTAATGAATAATAACAATAAAGGTAATTATGGTCGTCTATATCAATATATCTGGAACAAACTTAGCAATTGCTATAGTAAAAATGATTTTATTTTAAGTTTTATGACGGATTGATATCATTTGGAGAACCACTAAAAACCAGCAGGGAGTACAAGACAACAGTTTCGTCCCTATTTTAGGACTCTTCAGAACTACGCATCCATGACCTTCAGGTTACAAAGAGAGCTCGTTTACCACTCACTCACTGGGAAAGCCATCTATTGGCCAGCCTGAGAATTCTAGCTTCTAATAATTCACCGGGAATCAAATCCCTGCAAACCAACATATTAAAGTTAATCTTATGCTCACTAGTGACTGGCAGCTGAACGTAAACGACATATGGCTTGACTGTTCAATAATAATTGTATCCAAATGCTAGTTCACTCATAATCCTAGGTCTATGGAATAACTTAGCAACATGCCAGTTAATTTCAGTCGCAATGGACTATAGGGCGAAGTTGCTTGGGTTCCTGATGAAATGTCATGGCCAGTAGGGTCCACCAGGTCAGTTATAAAGACTAATACTCACCGATGATATTAGTTGGTGGACGCACTATATTTCACGAAATGACAGGAGTTTGAATTCATGGGCCGACCACTGGATTCCATCCCACTGGCTGGATGGTCAACGAGCTCTCCTGGACAACTGAAGGTCCGGGGCACTATCCCTGTTGGGGTGGATCATGGGTCTGTACAGATGAAGAATTCCAGAGTAGGACGAGAAAACTGCCCAGTGCTCCCTGCGGGTTTTCACTGCTTCCCTAACTGATATCAATCCGTGACTAAGCCTGGAACACATCAAATCCCTATTGACTGGCTCTTGAACATTGTTTTATTATTGTAGTATCTAAAGCCAATTGAATCAAAGAAATAATTTTCGTTCGTTCCTATGTTACTTTTCACAATTATACATATGTTCATATGTATTTAGAACATCGTGTGATTCCTAAACACGGGAATGTATTTTTCTTATAAATGAAACATGCTTATCCTTCAAATTATGCGGAGCCTAATCTAAACTGTTTCGCATTAGACAGACAGGTAAACGGTAATAATCAATCGTCTTATGAAATATATGTTAATGACCTTCAGACTTGTCTGACGACGATCACATAATGATTTTTACTTTGAATTCTGATTGGTTAGTTTGATTTTTGATTTTTTTTACTCTTGTTTATGATTTATTTTCTGCAATGATAAGTAAATGTAATTCTTGGTTGAAAGTGATAATAATGATGTCGATTCGTGATGAAAATTGCCTTTGAAGTCGATTAGTTCTAAACACAATTTCTTAATCGTTCAAAATTCCATTTGGGGAACAGGAATTAACACAAATGAAGATGGCGATTTGAAACCTGTGTTGAAATTAAGGCTGTTGAAGACTATACACATCATAGTAACTTTATCATTACTTCACCACAATTTTACATCTGTTTTAGATAATTTGAAAGATACTTTTAGAGTTCTCAGTCATTCTCAGCTGCTGCTACCTTGATGTAGTAGTCGATTTTGCAAATCGTGATAACCCAACGAACTTCACTGGTTGGAACTAATGTTCCTGCAAGTTCAACCATTTCAGAAAAGACGTTTTGATAGCCGTTAGACTAAGAGCAGTTACCATCGTAGTGTATGTTGTTGCCACCATGTTGACAGTATATGAACGAATTCGTGCTGTTGGTGAACAGAAATTTGATGGCAGTAGTAAGGTGTTTATCTCAGATGAACGACAAGGCGGCTATGCCACTTCTCCGTTCCGAGGAGGGGTGGGTTAAGAAAGGTTGATCCTAAAAATTGCACATACCGACTTACCTTGTGTTGGTGTGTAGCCGGTGGTAAAATCCACGTAAGGACAAACCTCAGACTGTGTTTGGCCAACCTCAAGAAGTCATCCCCTGGGCTCTGCAGTCACCCAACACTAATTTTTCTTCCGTTTTACATGTTTCAAGAAGAAATCAGCCAGGAAGTAATAACCTCACACAAGTATTTCGATATGCATGCAAAGCTTTTCTGATCATTCACCGTTAAGGTTTGTTTTCAGTTGTTTAATGGTAGATCTTTTCAAGTTGGCTTTTGATGTACGTTGAGTAAAACAAAAGAAATAGCTACTTGCTGTTAAAATCACTTTGGATAGCAAACATCAAAGCAGTATTCATCAATAATCTTCAAGTTTACATTCAATCTGCGTAACTAGTAAGTAGTGAAATTTAAAATGCATTAAAAAGCTGCTATGTGGGACAAACACGCTTTGTCTTATGAAGGCATTATTTACACAGTGTTTCTTTATCAATTGGTAATAACGATTATGCTCCGCTTTTCAATGTTCATTATGTTTCACATTTATAGGTGTGTTGTTGAATGAAATAAAACTATGTTAAATGTTGTAGGGATGGTGTAGTGTATGCTACTGACAAGATTTATAAGTAGTAAAGATAATAGTTTTATTTTGAAAAAAAGCGTTTTTATACAATGCAGGATTATCAACGGGTTTCATCGCAAGGTATTTTTTACTCATTGTACAGAATCGTCAAATAATATAATAATCGATTGTGTATCATCTGAATCAATATTGTTCCGTTCGAAGCTTCTCTCCAATGTCCTTCCCCTATTTTATTCCAAAATTTATTATTTGAAATTATGCATGAGCATAGATTCTGTCTTATTGTGATAATGTGATCATTACAAAAATATGGAAGAGAGTAAACAAGATGCATTTTGATGGATAGAAAATTTAGATAGCTCACTGATTGAAGCAGACCGCCGTATACAGTATATAGGTTCAGATATAAATATTTATATCAGCGTCAAGGATATCGAATGGCGAAGAAGTAAAATTAATGTACGAAGCTTGAAAACCAGCATCTGCGGTAATCCTTCTTCACGTGCTCTCACGTCCCAGCAAAAGAAAATTTGTTGGCAGACTTTTTGTTTAAACTGGAAGATGAAGCTTAGTTCCCAGAAATTGCATATGGAGTACATGCATTGGAAGAGGATCCATTAAGACATGTTCACAGTCAAAGATCAGGCCCTACCCTGAATACACTGATATAGGTGATCACTAACGCATTGAAAGTGAATCGACCCATAGTGAGTGGAGAGCTAACCACGCTACTCAGTCCGAAGGGCCAATTAAGATTGAAGGCCTGCGGAACTTTGACTTGGCAAGAGAATGTGATGGAAGCTGGTTGGTGGTAATGCCTCTGTCCCTATGCCATGAGATGATACAAGACTTCACCAGCTAGCACATACTGGGGTATCCAGAACAACCGACCTCTTGAGACAAAGCATGTACTAGTCAGGTATGAGAGATGTGACCAAATATGTGCTGAGATGTCCGTAGTGCCAGTTGATGAACGGAGATTGTAGCATACGACCGTCTCTGCAGTTGATTCCAGTTACGGCAGTAGGTGACTTGTGGTCCTTAAATGTAATGGGACATTTCCCTCAGACATCCGGTGGCAATTAGTACCACCTGGTAATGACGGAACATGCTACACGACGGGCAGACACCGTCACGATCCCAAATCAACACGCGAAAACCAACTGATGTAGGAGTTTAACATACCGTTGCAAACCATCGTATACCAAAGATGATACTGACAGATCAAGATCCCTGTTTAAAAAGTGATGAATTTACACCCCGTTTGCAACAAGTAAGTATCAATATTAGAACAACACCATATCCACAAATGAATGGTTTGACGAAGAGGAATAACTGTACACGGAAGGAGTTGGTAGCCTCGAAAGGAAGTAACTGGGAAACAGAGCTTCCATTGATTCTAATAACACATCGTTCTTCATCCTAGAAAATAACAAATAAGTCACTGTTTCAATTGATGTATGATAAGAAACCACGACTACCAATACACATTAAGAACTGGTCCCTTCACCAAGAGTGGAGTATGAGGAGATTGCGAACGGAACGGAAAGAAGCAATCAGGAATGTAAAGTACAAACAGACGATGGACTTCGCGAAATTTAAGCAGGAAGAGAAGACAAAATACATGACCTTTGTAGTCAGAGATCAAGTTGAGTGTAGATAGAGAAAGTACACGGTTGAATGCGAGTCAGTTTCTCGGAAACTCCTTCCATAGTGGAATGGACCATACACTGTCACCGAAAGACGTGGTATTGTTTATACCATCAGAAGAGGAGCCAGGGAGGCACATGTTAACACCAGCCAACTCCAGGGATGGATACAGTAGGATAAGCAAGCTGATAACAACACAACAATATTGGGTGGCAGTATTAAGGTCCGGGCGGCTCCTCTTGAAACCATTTGACGGGAGGACGAGTGTGACTTGTACTTCTGACAAGATTTATAAGTAGCATGTAGATGCAGATGTAAATATGTATATCAACGCCAAGAATATCGAATGGTGGAGAGATAGATTTAATTAGCGATGCTTGAAAAATAACATGGATAATATGAAAGGAAGATACAAAATAATAGTAAGAAGACAAGACAATACAATCCCGAAGAGAAGATAAATGCAAATTGTGATTCTACTGTGCGATAGACGTATTTTGCCCATATCTGTGTATCGGGTTTCTAGTAAGAAATTCCTTCCCCAAATTCTCTCATCTTCTCCTTGTACAATATTAAATAGAGTGCTCCAAACCGATAAGCTCGATATCTTGTATAACTGGTTTGAGATAGTATGAATTTCATCTCCCGTTTTAAGGGGTGTGATATGGTGATGAATACTGAGGTTAAGCGTAGTGTGCTAGGTAAGAAAGGGAAGTCAGTCGATGAGGTTGTAAAGCTACACTGAGTCGTACGGCTAGGATACGCGTTAAGTGTTCCGATCCACCACCTTCATAAAAGGCCCCTGTTAGCTGACATAGGATTAGGCTGGAAAAGAATTAGGAGTAATCAAATGAAAACCTAAACTCAACCCGTGGTTTTTGACTCCTGGTTTAAGTTAGCCGCGTAAAGAGATGTGGACTACCCGGTTGTGATCTGATATGACCCCTAGTGTACTTGGTAGATGCGCTAACGAATTTTCTATCTAATCGCTTCATGAACCTATGGTTCTAACCACTATTAGCAACAATAACAACAACAACGCGATAAGATACCATTGAGAACGCGACGCAAGAAGACCGGAAGAGAAGGCTGACCGTTAAAGTGGAGAGCTTTTACTGTCTGGTATCAACAATGAAAGTGATTGACAGTGCTTGCATATATATATGCTTTAAATGACCGTGAGAGACACAAATCAAAACAATTAGTCCCTTTGATAAATTTGAATAAGGCATTTAGAAGACAAATTTCATGAGATGGTATCATTTGGTTGTTTCTCTACAATCGTTTTACAACTAGCAGGGTTCACAATATTAAAAGAAATTGAAATATTTGGCAATAAACCAGTTATATCGAACAAAAGTACATACTAATTTTATTTGATCAAGTAGTCCATGCCAGGCAAAGGTTGAAGTCTATTATTTTTTGTACACAGTTTAGGATGTATGTGGTTAGTCTAAAGTGCTTCCATCACCTTTAATAACGTTGAATTAGAGTTGTGATGAAATAATTGTGAAGCAGTTAGTAATATGGATTTTGTGATGAGACACTAATAAATGCTTTGCCACGGATGATTCTGAATTTCTATTCGGGTTAAGTACATCTGGGTTTTACGTGTGACTTAATAACCATTTAGGAACATGCTCTCTCCAACGACATTAGAACATTCTATTGGTTCTACCTTTATCAGTGTCACCGCAAATGCAGGTGAACTTGTGGATACAGTGTGAAGTAGAGTTCACAGAATTCCATCCTTTAATCGTAGGTACACGGATCTAAAATGTTCAAGATGTAAGGGGAAGAGGAGATGCAGCGTAGAATGTGAGCTTGATGACTGACCGAAATCTTTGAGCTGTCAATTGCATAATTTGATCACCATTGAATGGTAGGTTAATGAGGATAGCTTTCTTTGGTACATAAGCTGTCTTTTCCATATGTGGTCTATCCTAACTATTAGAATTGATAAAGTTTGCTGGATAATCATTGACTAGTGAAACTGAATGCGTGTGTGTCAAAGCTCATCCATTAATGTGTCACTCGTGCATATTTTGTGGGCCCTTGAAAACAAATTTTTCACTAGGGAATGTTTATACACGATGGGAACAAAACTGGTGAAATAAAGATATTGTCCACTTCATGTCGGCTTACGAAATATGGGTCGCTTAATCACTAATTACATTAATAAATTAAAACAGTAGGATTGCAAAGGTCGTAAGTGGGTTGAGAGAAGATTAGGTCTGTAAATCAGTATGTGGGGTGAGAGAAATACGAACAGATAGGTAAAAAGGACGGGTAGAAAATAAGGTCTAAGATCCTCTGGCTGAATAGTGTTGGTGATGTGGCTCAAAATCGTTCTCAGTTACGCGGATGCATTCACTCCCAAATCCACCAAAATTCATGTTTTCCCATGTTACTATTGTTTTTCTTTCTCCCTTGCATTTCTGCTTGTCATGGTCCTTTTGAACCTCTTTTTTCTTCTTTTTCTCTACTGTTGTGTGGAGTGTGGCAACTTGGAATGCTGAACATCTGTATCAAGTTTTATGCTGAAAAAATATGCCATCAATCCAAAAATTGCTACTAATTAGATGATCTAACCCAACCTTAGCGAGTTAGCTTGTGATCTCAGCCCGTGTAGTTTTAAGCATCAGTGATATTGAGAAACGTGTTAGTAAAATGATTCGAAATCGATAGTTTAATTATTCTTTTGTCTTTTTCTGCTCTCACACTATTTTCCTGTCTGCACTTTATTACTAATTTATGTGTATGTTTACTTTTCACTTTTATTTTTTTTTATTTTGTCGAAGTGTGCCAATTTATAACTTATGAACTCCTAAGTTAATATGTGTCATTTTGTCTTTCCTGCAACTCAGAAATATAAGGTGCAGGAGAGTGTCTGTCTGTCTGTTTTCGACATAGAACTCTGCACATATGTGCGCCAGTTCAAGTCGCCACACTCCCTCCTTGTACCACACAAAGCAACAGAAGAAAGTACAAGAAAAGTGTAATAGAGACAATAAACAGAGGTGTGAGACAAGGGAAACAGTAGTAACGAAGATCAATATAGTTTCACTGGAAATCATAAGTCACAAGGAGTGGATGCATCTGCGCTAGTCAGCCATTGAGAACGATTTTGAGCCATATCACCAATTGTTTCCAACCATTGGTTTCTACCGTCCAGAGGACCCCAACCAGTCAGGAAGTCTACACCTTCCTACGTGACTGGCTTAAACTAACTGTTGTAGATTTTATTGACTGGTGAGGCCATGTTTCTGTTTGACCGCCGCTGGCTTTTTTCCAGCCTGACCCTATATCCGCTAACATTGCTCGTCGGTCGAGGAAGGCGATGACTAGGCATGCATGCGTAACACATGTCCTAACCATCTCAGTCTATGTAACTTCACAACCTCGTCGATTGATTTCCCCTGTTTACCTAGAACTCGACGCCTAACTTCAATATTGCTCACCTTATTATGCCACTTTACACGGGAAATAGAGCGCAGACACCTATGATCAAAGACAGCTAATCTTTTCATGTCTTCCACTCTCAGTGGCCAGGAGAGTGTAATATGTTATAAATCATACCCAATCTATAAAAGCTAAGTAATATTTATTACCTGATTGCCACTCAGATGCTGGTAGATGGAACTAATGGTTGTGACTTAACAAAAAACACTGTTAACACAGTGTTTGGCGAAGAGACTCCAATCCAGCTGGGTAGTCGTGTTCATTTATATATATATATATATATATATATATATATATATATGTTATGATTTGTAAAAAATGTTATCCCATGAAGACGTCTAAACAAAGATATGAAAGCGGTGATGTAAAATGAGATAAAATGTTTGTGATTATAACCATAGTTACCCAAACCAACTTTTTTGACAAAAATGCGAAAATTGAACAATCCAAACTGCTCACTAACTCACTTGTAAAGAAAACCAGCTTCTTGAATTTGGAAATCAAAGTGATCAACACTCGTTTTTGTAAATCACCCTGTTAGAAGTTTTTTCCAAGTGAACTCCAAATGACCTTCAACAGCCGTAGGTTGTTCCCTATATAAGATAAGCTCCCTCTCCAGGTAGCCTCGATGTGCGTCTATCAGTTCACCTGCCATTGTGGAGCAAGATACACTGACCATAGTTAGATAATGCTTTCCACATGGATACGAGAACACATTCCAGCTCGGTTTCAGAAAGGAGGAAGGAAGGGCATGGAACACTTGATTGACGTATGTCACGCTACCAACACCATGATTTTAAGACCATCTATCGACTTCTTGTTAACCTACCGCGTTTTCCTCGTTCTAAATTTCTAAAGACAACTGAGGCCTTGGAAGTTCGTGAATTTAAATCCAACCTTTATGGACAAAAGGAGGATATACAGTCCTTATTTTTCTACCTTGGCTTTAAAGGGATGAATATTTATTTTTTCTTCGTTTTGTTTATTTTGTCTGTGTCTTTCCCTTATTATCACAATTGATATTATTATCCTTACTGGACAGTTAAATGCATTATTTCACATGCCCCATTCAAAGCTTAAACCAGTAAGTTTTTCGCAATTTTGAAATCTATCCTGTAGAACTTTTCACCATGTTACGTGATGCCTTAATCGCCTATTAATTCTACATTCTTTTCTTATATTACATGAATTATTTCATGTATCTCATCATTTGTTTTATCGCTTGATATTGAACTATGATACAACCACAAACATTTTGGTTACAGGATTTCATGATGAGCTGACGCCAGTTAGAGAACCCTTGGAAAACCACCAGGGTGTACTGCACAGCCGTTTCATTCTAGTTTGGACACCTCATCAGTACGCGCCAACCGGGGGTGTGTGAACCCAGAAGCTTGTGGACACAAGGAGAACTCATAGAATGCATGGGTTATTGGGTTGGATCCCAGTAGCCTAATGGTTTAGGAGCTCGCCTCGTAACCAAAAGGTCCCGGGTTCGCACCCTGGTTGGTGCGTTCTACTGAAGTGACTCAAACTAGGAGGAAACAGTTAGCTGTCCGGTACTCCCTGGTGGTTTTCCAATGGTTCTCTAACTGATGTCAGCTCATGATGAAATCCTGTAAACCAATTACTAAGTTATTGAGAAAAACACAATACCCAGGCATATGTTATCAAATCAACAAATTGCCTAGACATTTGTTCTGATTTATTGTTTACTTCACTTATGTTTTTTTCTTTTCATTTTATTTTATCATAACATTTTTCTTCTCAAAAAAAATCAATAAGATCTTCCTTGGGAAGTACCATTTGAATCAGTCACCGATTTAGTATGGATTGGTTCTGGTGCACAAGGTGTAGTTTTCCGTGGCTACTTTCGTGGTGAATTAATCGCTGTGAAAAAAGTGAATAAACAATCAGATACAGATATTCGTCATCTACGATATTTAAATCATCCGAATGTAATTAAATTTAGGTAAGTCAGTTGTTGCAATCTGGTGCTTTTCGTTGTTGTTGCTCTCTCTTGAGTGATGTATGATGTATCATGATGAATATATATATATATATATTCTCTTCTTCATACTTTTGCTCTCTTCCTGTTTCTGTTCCTTTTCCTAAGTGTGACAACTTCAAATGTGATACACGTTGATACGAAGCTTTCATCCTTGTAACTCAACAACTCATTCAACTGCTCAAAATTATAGATCAAAGTACTTTCCCGTCTCTTTCTTTCTTTCTTTCTTTGGACTTTTGCAGCTATCGAAAAGGTTAAACACTAAAGGTCCTTGTTTATCTATCATAATCCTAGATTGAAAGTATATCCGACTGACAAGTTGAAATGTATGAATATTCTGAAAGTATCGAAATAAAACCTAGTGTTACTAAGTAAGCGTCTAGTGGCACAGTGGTTAGGACGCTCGCCGACCATGCACATGGTCCGAGGTTCGAGCCCGCGCCGACGCACACCTGATATCTATGGTCGGCCTGCGAAATTTGGGCTACCGATATCCACGCTGAAAATTCTATACTTGTATACTTGTGGAATCAGGCTGTAATCAAAAGTAAAAATAAGAAATTAGTATTCGTATGTAAAACAGGGCTTTATACAACACACGTTCATTCCACTTCATACTTAGCAGTCTTTTTCTTAAATGGATCCTCTATTTCCTTTCCTACAAGATTTCCCTCTTGTTCACACAGTCCTCCCCATCTCATCTTCGAACGCTCAACTTATCGTTTCCTATTCAAATTCCACTCAAGGCCCCTGCGTGAGATGTCAGTCAACTTTCTCCTCAGCGTATGTGTCCAATCCATCTCTATTTATTTCTGAATATTTGTTGGGCAATAGGTTTTTGGTTGGTTCGTTGTCAGAGTTTCTTATTGTTTATTGTTCCTGATCATCTTATCTTCAATGTGGAGTGACGACAGTTGTTGGCTTATGTCTAAAGCGTGTTTGAAATGCTTTTGCTAGCATACCAAGCCTGTTAACCGTATTGAAGAATTGAATGACTTGAAATGAATGTCTTGTTTATTAGACTGAGTGTAGCAGATTTCCACACTGATTTCAGATTAATTAAGGTTTGTGTTGTCTTTCCGATCTTAGTTTATCATTCTTATCTGTACCATCTACCTATTGTTGAAACGATGGTGCTTATCTTATATAACTAGATGAAGTGACCTCTTTCGAATATCTCCCGTTGATAGTGATTGGTGTTTGTTGTTATTGACTGTCGAGTATCTTCATCAGCTTTCTCTACTTTAATGTACCAAGGAAAAATACGTGCTGAAGTCTGCTGTCAGTCAGAATCACATAAACAGAATGAATGTTTAAACCGAGATTAGACTACGGAATGTGTAGATTTTAACAAGGGTCAATAAGTCTTCCATAAGCGTTCGTGACCACATGTACACCTACAATAATAAATGCGTTAGGATACGATAGATTTTTCCCCTGGTTCTAGGAGGATTCGTTGGCTTTGTGCTTTCAATGATTCAAACATTAGGTGCACACAATGTCCTCTTAATCGTATCAGCGAAAGAAAACCAGACTGTTTTTAAAAAAAGCTGAAATCAGAAAAAATATGTAGAGCAGTCTGATTTACGAGATGCTCAGCGTATGGTACTTAATTTAATTGTATCACAACCGATTGCTTACCACTTCTTTCTCTCTTTCTTCAGCTAAGCAACTTACTGTCATAGAGTACTCTCCTTTTGTTTGCAGTTAATGAGGTTAAATATTGCTTTTTTTCGGCCGACCATTGAAAGCTGACACAAGAAGTGATATATAAATATGTCTAGTCTGAACTAGTGACGACTAGTGGTGTCCGTCAAGGATGCCCATTATCCCCTTTTTATTCAACTTCATCATAGATGTGTTAATGGACTTAACCCTAAGTGAATTCAGCGACTCAGGGATTGACTTGCTACCAGGGAATAATCTCGTAGACTTAGAATATGCAGACGATATAGTCCTTTTAGGCGAGGACGCTGACAAAATGCAGAGTCTTCTAAACACCTTGAGCCGCAATCTACGACGACTCTGGCGTAGACATGATATCCCACTATCAACCAAAGGGCGGGTGTACTGCTCATCAGTCCGCTCCGTCCTCCTTTATGGCTGTGAGACCTGGCCACTGAGAGTGAAAGACATGAAAAGATTAGCTATCTTTGATCATAGGTGCCTGCGCTCTATTTCCCGTGTAAAGTGGCATAATAAGGTGAGCAACATTGAAGCTAGGCGTCGAGTTCTAGGTAAACAGGGGAAATCAATCGACGAGGTTGTGAAGTTACATAGACTGAGATGGTTAGGACATGTGTTACGCATGCATGCCTAGTCATCGCCTTCCTCGACCGACGAGCAATGTTAGCGGATATAGGGTCAGGCTGGAAAAAGCTAGCGGCGGTCAAACAAAAACATGGCCTCACCAGTCAATAAAATCTACAACAGTTAGTTTAAGCCAGTCACGTAGGAAGGTGTAGACTACCTGACTGGTTGGGGTCCTCTGGACGGTAGAAACCAATGGTTGGAAACAATTGGTGACATGGCTCAAAATCGTTCTCAATGGCTGGCTAGCGCAGATGCATCCACTCCTTGTGACTCATGATTTCCAGTGAAACTATATTGATCTTCGTTACTACTGTTTCCCTTGTCTCACACCTCTGTTTATTGTCTCTATTACGCTTTTCTTGTAGCTTCTTCTGTTGCTTTGTGTGGTACAAGGAGGGAGTGTGGCGACTTGAACTGGCGCACATATGTGCAGAGTTCTATGTGGAAAACAGACAGACTGACAGAGATATAAATATGTGTGTCAGTGATTTATCAGCTACAGAAAAATTTTATAATCTTCCAATATTTTATAAGAGTTGTGCTTTTTAAGTGACAAGATAATTTTACTAATGGCAGGCAGCCATATTAACACATTTGAACTTCCACTTATTCAACTACAAGGATTTTATAGCCTGCGTGCTCTACCAACCATTAACTTCAGTTTGATGTAATTATTGGAATCTAAAAATAAACTTGTGTGGCTCTTTAGTACGTATGGTATTTAGCAGTCAGTTTGTTCGTTTCTCAACTTTAAATTGATGTTTACTCATTCTACTGGTTCAAGTTTTCATCAGAAACCCTGTTGGTACCAGGTGTCGACGAATGATCATACGAAGTATTCCAATTTATTTTCATTAAAGGGGTGTAAGATTATATGTCTAAGGTAACTCATTTACTCCATACAGGCTTTTGGTGGAGATATTTAATTTCTAACACCAAATCGAAGTTATTAGAACAAAGTATTAATGCAGAAACCTGTTGACTGAAAATTAAGCGCTCAACCCTAATGAGCCATACACCTCAATGACCTGTTTTAGTGATTCATGTTGACACAGGATAAATATTCATTTGCACATAAAGTGTCAGGTGTACGGTACAACAGTATTCTTTGTCTATGAATTATAGTCAGCAGAATTACACTTGATAAAGTTGTAGTTACAGGTTTGATCACGAGTTGACATCAGTTAAAGAACCACTGAAAAATCCGAGAGTACTGGAGAGCGCCCCCCCTAGCTTGAGACCCTTCATTGGTATACACCCACCGGGATTTAAACCCAGGACCTTCTGACTACAAGACAAGCTCATAGACCATTCATGCACTGGTTTGAATCCCGGTGGGTGCGTACGACTGAGGAGTTCCAAGCTAGGGGGTGGGGGACAGCCCTCCAGTATTCTCAGGTTTTTCAATGGTGCTTTAACTGATGTCAACTCATGAAAAAACCTGTAACGAATCAAATCTCTGCAAACCAATACTTGATGAAGCTATAATCTTTTGACCATAATTATGTTTCCGTAGCATTGCTCAACATCAGCAGGTCACTGTGTGAATGATATATAGGTTAGGTGAGAAGTGTCAGCCATTGAATGGTTAACATTTTCTCAAATTGTAGAATCTCTGGCAACTAAGGTATTTAGGGCGTGTTTTTAACCTGATCTTATCACTGTTTAAACCAAAATGTTGATGTAGCATTAATTTTGAACGAATGTGGGCAGTGTCAAGTCTGTAGCATAGTATCAATTCGTTTATTGTTCGCTTTCGATACTAGCTATGTAGCGAATTTTTGTTTGTGTGACAACGTGAATCTCTATAATTTGAGATTTTAAGTAATGCGGTTTAAAGCCGGTTGCGTAGACACAGATTTCACACACTCACACTGAATATCATTTTTTGTCTTATTACAATAATTTTCATTTACCTTACACGTTTTTTTTTCCACCGTTTTTCCACCGATCTTTCCTGGTCTTCCCACATCTTGCTAGTTACTAGAAAGATGTTTCGCTTAACGTTCTACATTAGGAAATTTAGGCAGTCTGGCATAAACCAGTCTTTACTTTCTCAGTTTGTAAATTCTTGTATTCTACCCATCCTCCTTTACTGCTCCCCATTAGTCTTTCCTGGACTACTTAAGAAAGACTTTGCTTCGCTGAGAAGGGCACTAAAAGCTGTTAGTAGGGCAAGTGGGATATCGTTAAACCAACTGGTTAACGCTATTGTGGATAGACATATTATATCATGTAAGAAACTAGCGAATACAATATTGTCGGACCCCGAGCATCCTCTCTATACGCATCTATCTCCTTGCATTTCATCTGGAAGAACTAGAAGCAGCTATAGGCGGCTATATGCTAGGACTACCAAATACAAAAACTCCCCAATACCATATCTGGCACAGCTGTTATGTGATGAGAAATCCGTTAGGTATGACACGATAAACTTACTGCAGCTCTCTAACAAATAGTCCCATTAGTTTTTGTTTTCCTTTCCTCGTTACTACTACACTGTTGTTCTCATCTACTACCACACATCAACTTTATATTTCAAATCCTGTGTTGCATTGTTTGAAATGAAATACTCTACGCTGTTTTTTCTTAATTTTTAATATTTAATTATTTTATTTATTTATAACTTATTTATTTTATTTATATTTATTTATCTTTGATTTTTAAAAATCTTATATAATTTATGAGGTAATTAGATGCAATATACTGTAATCCACGCTGAAAATTCCATACCTGTACCACAAATACTGTTTGGAATAAAGCTGTTATTATTATTATTACGTTTTATCGTCTTCTCTTTACAGCGTTTTATACTCTTAGCTTTTTATGATTTGTTGCCGTATTTATTTTTTCGTCTTTGTTTTAAGTCCAGCTTCCATATGTACGCACATCGTTTATCAACTCCAGATGTTATGTTGATAATATCTGTCAGTTTCTGTCCTCTATACTGATTAGAAAAACTGATAATCATATTAAAAATTTAATTACAAGAAATAATTTTTCATGCAGAATAGAATTTCCAGCTCTGTTCGTATACGGCAGCCATTTATCTCCGTTTACAGATAAATAAACACATAAACTAGGAGAAATAACAATTATTATTATTGCTTCCTTAGGTTCCTAGTGGAACATAGGGCTTCAACTGCACGTCTCCACTTGCTTCTGTCTTTTGCTGTACTTTTCACCTGCATCCATGTTAGTCCATACTCTTTCAACTCCTCTTCACACGATCTCCTCCATGTCACCCTTACACTGACGTCCCACTCGTCGCTTCCCTTTCGGGTTCCACTCGAGCAATGGCCTGAAGCGCGATGTCACCCAGCGGCGGCCTCCTCAGCGAGTGTCCAATCCATTTCCACTTTCTCCTGCATATTTGTTGGGCGATTATTTCTTGTTTTGTTTGTTCCCAGCCATAGTTTCTTGTTGGTGATAGTTTCCGGCCCGGCCATCTGATCTTCAGTATAGAGCGATAGTTGACAGTTGTTGATAAAGGTCTGCAACAGGCTGTTGGAAATATTCTTTGTGACCCGGCCTCCAAGTTTCTGACCCGCATCGAAGGACTGACTGACTTAACGTTTGTATTGAAAATCCGACGGAATTTTGTTGTTGATGCTGAGTGACGAAGATTTCCAGATTGGTTTAAGGTTGATGAATGTGTTTCTCACCTTCCTCCCCCGATTCTCTCTCAATCTGACATCGTCGTCCGTTCCGACTGCGTATAGTTGAGACAATGCTCCCTAGATCAGTGAGTGAATGAAGTAACCACAAAAACTGAGAGTTAATAGAAAAATAATATTGCTAACAATAATCTTGAAAATAACTTGCTGTTTATCTACAGATTTCTATAAAACACGAAATAATTAAGCAAAGAATATTCTTTTCGATAAATTCCTCTTCTGGCTCTACAATCACATATATAAATGTTTATACACATAGAATATTCTAGATTAGTAGTCAGTAACAACCTTATTCAACAGCTGTACGACAACGGAACATGTCAAGTCATCCACAACGGAAAACTCAGCGAGGCGTTTGGAATAAACACAGGAGTCGGACAACAGTGCTTATTATCACCCACAATGATATTGTAGTGGACTGGATTATGGGTCAGACGGCGAGTGGGAAACGAGAAGGCAGGAATATCCTGGACCGAACGATGTGAAGAACCTAGAAGACCTGGATTTCGCGCGGCGATGATTCATGTTTGATGTCACTGTCACAAAATCGAAGACTTATAAGTGAAAACCGACAAACTGGTCGAAGAAGCAGCCGGTGGAGACAGGACTCCAGGTGAACATAGACAAGACGGAGGTGATGAAAATAACCAACCAACCAACAACTACAGCAACATCCAGCGCCGATCACCATCAACGGGAGGGATTTGAAAGAGGTCACTTCATTCACTCACTGATCTAGGGAGCATTGTCTCAACTATACGCAGTCGGAACGGACGACGATGTCAGATTGAGCGAGAATCGGGGGAGGAAGGTGAGAAACACATTCATCAACCTTAAACCAATCTGGAAATCTTCGTCACTCAGCATCAACAACAAAATTCCGTCGGATTTTCAATACAAACGTTAAGTCAGTCAGTCCTTCGATGCGGGTCAGAAACTTGGAGGCCGGGTCACAAAGAATATTTCCAACAGCCTGTTGCAGACCTTTATCAACAACTGTCAACTATCGCTCTATACTGAAGATCAGATGGCCGGGCCGGAAACTATCACCAACAAGAAACTATGGCTGGGAACAAACAAAACAAGAAATAATCGCCCAACAAATATGCAGGAGAAAGTGGAAATGGATTGGACACTCGCTGAGGAGGCCGCCGCTGGGTGACATCGCGCTTCAGGCCATTGCTCGAGTGGAACCCGAAAGGGAAGCGACGAGTGGGACGTCAGTGTAAGGGTGACATGGAGGAGATCGTGTGAAGAGGAGTTGAAAGAGTATGGACTAACATGGATGCAGGTGAAAAGTACAGCAAAAGACAGAAGCAAGTGGAGACGTGCAGTTGAAGCCCTATGTTCCACTAGGAACCTAAGGGAGCAATAATAATGATGAATAATATCGATATATATATATATATATATATGTAGAGCCAGAAGAGGAAATTATCAAAGAGGATATCTTTCGCTCAATTATTTTGTGTTTTATAGATGTCTGAATGAATATTTTCGCTATTTCAATCGATTATTAAGTAGGCTTATAAGTTCGTTTCTGGCATTTGTCCATTCACACAAACCCATGATACTAAACATGGTATAGTTGAATTTTGATATTTACTAGATGTACAAGAATAAATTTTTATGAAATTTTTTCTGGTTTAATCTGAGGCGACACAAGGAGAAAGTTGCGAAGAAAGTGGATGGTTTCAATATCAGAGAAGATGACACAATGACACAAATAAAATGCCTATCAGCCAGTAGCAATGCAAGTTAGTGGAGTCAAAGGGACACATCACTAACCGTGCTTACAGTCTTCAATGTTCTAAGTGACATCACATAGTCTTTTTTTAATAAAGAAGAATGGGTAGAATATATGGAGAACAAGTTGCTGGTGGAAGAAGCACTAAAGGCAGGACTTCAGATGAATATCGAGAATATGAAGGTGATGAAGATAACCAACCAACCAACCAAAGAACCACAACATGCACCAACCACTGTCAATGGAAGAGATTTGAAACAAGTCACTACATTCGCTTACCTAGCTGAGGGTATCGTTTTTACTTGAGGGGGAACGGATGAAGCTGTCAAAACCAGGATTGGAAACGCAAAAGATACCTTTATTACTCTGAAATCAGTGTGGGAATCTTCTACACTTAACACAAACAATGGAATTAGGATTTTCAACACCAATTTTACGTCAGTCAGTTCTTCTATATGGGTCAAAAACTTGGACCATTACGAAAAATATTTTCAACGGGCCACTACAGGCTGTTTTCAACAACTGGCTTCTCTGACTCCTTACTGAAGATCAAATGGCCGTAAAGAATAGGCAACAAGAAACTCTGGGCACGAATTAACTAAGAACTCTTTGCTCAACAAATATTCCGATGAAACCGGAGATGTAATGGACACACACTGAGGAGACCGTTAGGAGTGACATCACGTGCTAGAGTACCGTTCGATTGGGACCCGAAAGAGGAACGACGAGTCGGGTGTGGGTTCGAGGGTAACATGGAGAAGTTCGTGTGAGGAGATGATAGCCTATGCTCAATCGTGGGGGCAGCTAGAGAGGACTGCAATGTAGCTGAAGCTCCATGTTCTGCTCGGAACCCAAGGGAATAAAAGGAAAACAAAAATTAATAAATTTTAATAGGGGAGGTTTATTTATGCGAGGAATTCTCAATTTCCTTATTTAATAAGTCGGATAAAAGATTTTCTTAGAAATATACAAGGTATGAGACTTTCAACAAAGATTGGAAGAGAAACTGTTGCCAAGTTAGGTAATATTTGATTTATTTACTATCACAGTCTTGTTGATATTACAAGAATCATTTGAATGAATCACTTGAAGCAAGTCTTGTTCACGTCTGAAATTTAAGTTAACTGTCTGACATTTAAAGGATTGTAATATATTGTTGTTCCTATTGCAAAGGCGAACTATTTCATCGTAAAATTATTCTTCCTTTAACATATTTCTTTCGTGTTTTTTTCTTTTTATTCTTGTCTAACTTAGAGGGGTTTGCGTAGAACAACCATGTTATTGTATACTTATGGAGTATTGTCCATATGGTCAGCTGTATGAATTAATTCATTCAGGCAATCCTATATCACCAACGTTAATCTATGCATGGATTAAACAGATTGCTGATGGTATGCATTATTTACATTCTTGTAAAATTATTCATCGTGATCTAAAATCTCCAAAGTAAGTGTGACTATATATATATATATATATATTATATTAATATATTATTATTCCTTTAGGCTCCAAGTAGGACATATGACTTCAATTGTACAACTCCATTTCATCCTGTTGTCTGCAGTCGTATTTAGTTGACTCCCCGATTACCCATAAGCTTTCATTTCATACTTACACGATCTTCATGTCACCCTGAAATCCATGCCCAGCTTGTTGTTTACCATTTGAGTTCCACTCGAAAGACTGACTGGCGTGTGTTGTCACTCAACTGTCTCCTCAACCTGTTTCCAATTATTCTCTATATCCTTGGGCGCATATATACAGTTCGATAGTTGCGTCGGTGGCACAACAGTGGAATACTCGCCAACCACGCCTCATGTCGTCCGGGGTTCGATCCATGATCTACCCACTCCTTTACCTCTGTAAGCCAGTAATATGACTGGTAAAGAGAGCAGTTCAGGTATGAGGCTAGCAACCCTATTCGTAAAAATAAACACCACTGCTACCGATGTAACAACAGAAGACAAGAGCCAGGCATCATATCCTTTATTAAGGAAATCAACACATATTTATAGATTTTCATGTACATATTATAGATTATTGGTAGCAGAAAATCAGTCCTCTGATTGGTTTTTTCTCACAGAAAGTTAACCTTGCATCTCTTTGTGGCTGTTTCTTGAACGTCACATCATCTATATGCTAACTGTATCCGCCTACGCAAAGCCTTTCTTCTCATTTTTCTCACAACCAATATTGGGGACATAAACATTGCCGTAAATTACTGTCCACCAGTTTTGGCTGATAGCCAGCTCTTACCATACCGAAACTTCGAGCCTCTAGTCAGTAGCTGATAAGAGTCCCTTGTTGCTAATCCTTTCTGGCCTGTCATCTAGCCTTCAGTTAGCAGCAAAAAAGCGGTTATTGATAAAAGTCTGTAGTAGCCTTTTGGAAATGATTTTGGTGACGCGTGCACCAAGTCTAGGAAATATTTAGAAGAACTGACTTACATCCGAGTTGAAAATCCGAATATTATTCCCCATGTTTAATGCAGTAGATTTCCAAACTGATTTCAGAGGAAGGAAGGTTTTTCGTGTGTTTCCTATTCTGACCTTGACATCTTCATATATGTTGTGAAATGATACAGCTCAAATAATTGAAAGAAGTGATCGTAATTGTTATTGTTGGTTAGTTATTTCCATCCCCTCTGTCTTCTTTGAGTTCACTGAAGTCGCTCTTTGCTGCTCCTCCTGCCAATTTGCTGGTCTTCGACTGAATATCTTCTAGTTTTTGTTAAATGAGACATAAATCGTCCGCATAATCCGAATCTTTTAGAGTCTTCTTATTGGTTTAACTTATTCCTGTCTTCTCGATCCCCCTGATTTTATTGCACGATTCAGTCCACCATCAGGTGGATACAGAGGGCTAGTTTCTCACATGCCAGTTTACGCCGTCTCTGGCGTAGACGTGATATCCGACTATCGATCAAAGGGCGGGTGTACTGCTCATCAGTCCGCTCCGTCCTCCTTTATGGCTGTGAGACCTGGCCATTGAGAGTAGAGTGGATGAAAAGACTAGCTGTCTTGGATCACAGGTGCCTGCGTTCTATCTCCCGTGTGAATTGGCATAATAAGGTGAGCAATATTGAGGTTAGGCGTCGAGTTCTAGGTAAACAGGGGAAATCAATCGACGAAGTCGTGAAGTTACGAAGACTGAGATGGTTAGGACATGTGTTACGCATGCATGCCTAGTCATCGCCTCCCTCGACAACAGGGAACATCAGCTGACATATGGTCAGGCTGGGAAAGAGGTAGCGGCGGTCAAACAAAAACATGGCCTCACCAGTCAATAAAATCTACAACAGTTAGTTTAAGCCAGTCACGTAGGAAGGTGTAGACTTCCTGACTGGTTGGGGTCCTCTGGACGGTAGAAACTAATGGTTGGAAACAATTGGTGACATGGCTCAAAATCGTTCTCAATGGCTGGCTAGCGCAGATGCATCCACTCCTTGTGACTCATGATTTCCAGTGAAACTATATTGTTCTTCGTTACTACTATTTCCCTTGTGTCACACCTCTGTTTACTGTCTCTGTTATGCTTTTCTTGTACTTTCTTCTGTTGCTTTGTGTGGTACAAGGAGGGAGTGTGGCGACTTGAACTGGCGCACATATGTGCAGAGTTCTATGTCGAAAACAGACAGACAGACAGTCCACCATAATCAGGAATATCATTCGTGATCGTAGACAGCCTTCTATTACTCTTGTCTTTAAAGAATTAACTGAGTTTCCCGATATGTGTCACTGGGCGCATATATGGCATTATCATAAAGCTGTTGAATTACTTTGATAGAGTTTTGGGGCACTCCCTAGTGCTAAGTCAGCATCTAAATAGCTTCCCAGTCAACGCGGTTATAATTAGTCATCTTAGTGTCTTTCAGCTGGTCACAGTTGGTAACTATGGGATATCATTAATATTCATGCAATAAGTGTAGTTCAATATTTAGTGGGCACCTATTTACATTTTGATCAGCTAGCTTCACAGTTGTTCTATAAATGAAGCAGTAAATATGCTGAATAAATTTACGTCTAAATCTGCCCTGCATCTACTGGCTGACCATTAAAATGTGTATATTTGAGCCCATCACGTGCTTAAAATCATCTATGCAGAGTTATGAATCACAGCTGTCTCTTTCTGTCTCTCTCTACATAATGTATATTTTTGGACAGAAGTGGAAACATTGTTCGTCTAAAATACTAAGATCTTTTAGCAGTCGCAAAACCATTAAAAATCATGGTTTACTGCAGCAGGAACGTTTTGTCATTAACCTAAGTAAAACTGAAGAATATGACATTTGGTGAATAGTGACTAGCAATGGAATCCAGGTTGTGTGCATTTCGTCCTATTCAGGACTACTTGTCGTCTGCATGTACCTGCATTTTCAGTGAGTAAAATGCATAGTGTTCCCGTTCACTGAGATTCAAACCCTGCTCTCATTGTTTTGCACTGCTAGTCACTACCAACCAAAAATAATTTTTCATTATTTCCTTAAACATCTTTGAAGGAGCATCTGTACTCTGTCTGGGCCAACATGTCAACAGAGATTGAGGAATGCAGTCCAATATAATTAAAAGCAGTGAGAAATGCATAATCAACTTGTAAATGAATGAGGAATATGTTGAATAATAAAAGACTATAACTGTTTATCAACATGTAGATACATTTTTTTATCAGCTTCTTGTACGTTTATCAGAAATATAGATACTGTTCGCTATTGATTAACTTAACATTATTGAGATCATGTGTATTGTCTAGTGTGACATAGTGACTGATTATTTTCCTTTGATTCGAATCAGCTCAACAAATAAAATTACATACAGGCCTATGCGAGGGAGAAGATGGGATGTAGACTGAAACTATAAGTGATTACGTGTTTGAGTGTCAACATAGAAATATGCACAGAAGTATACCATTTCAAGTGGGTTCGTCGGTGGCACAAAGGTTAGATCTCTCGTCGACCATGCACATGGTCTGAGGTTCGATCCCCTGCCGATATACACCTGATATCTATGGTGTCAGCCTGCAAAATTTGGGCTGCCGATATCTATGCTGAATATTCCATACTTGTACCAAAAAATACGGTGTGGAATCAAGCTGCAATCAAAATAAATAAATAAAGTTACTGCATTGCATGTAACACAAAAAGTAGAGGTAAGAGATTTTTAAAAGAACTATAATGAATAGAAATGTACAGGAGAAAGGAGAATAACATAGAATAACATGAGGACTTAATTTATATGGGAGGTCAAACAAAAGTGAATACATGCGTAACACATTGAGAACGATTCTGAGCTGTATCACCGACAGTGTCCAGTCATTGGTTCTCAACATCCGAGGGAAACCAACCAGATAGTCTACACCTCCCTATGTCGTTCAAACCAAATGTAAAAGAGTTTGAGGATTGATGCTGAATCTTACTTTGACCACTTCTAACTCGTTGAAGAAGGAGATGGATTCGTCCGTACAACACATCGTGTCCTAGCCATTTCTTAATCGATGTATGTAGCTTCACAACTAAATCGCCCGACTTACTCTCCGCACCTAATATCCTACGGCTAACCTCGATATCGTTCACCGTATTAAACCACTTAATACAGAAGAAACCGAAATATATAGTTATGTTTAATTGTTACAGCTTACAAAACTCTATTCATCGAAATGGTGGTAAGTAGACGGTTTTCTCCACCTGGGTTTCTTTCACCTCACTTTAAAATTGACTGACTGGTTGACAATTCAACGCAAAAACTTTTCACAAATGCTTGATCTATCCCGAAATGACTCACTTCAAAATAGGTTGCAAAAGGATAATCCGTCTGCATTAGTCCAGGGGAACTGCTTCAGATTTTGATATGTGACTATTATCTTGAGTAGTCTGTCTAGTCAAGAATTGCTTATCTTCGATTTTAGTGATGATTAACAGTTATTCGTTTCTTCAGACTTGAAATTTACGTTTGTGATATGATTCTTCAAGAGTGGACGCAAATAATCAGAGAATTCAAACATCAAATGACAGTTATTTTCGTTGTGAAAAATGTAAAGTCATTTCTCAATCGATATCTCCAAGCTGTAACTATAATCTGATATTCCCACATATTTTAAATATTAACAGGAATTCATTTTTAAAAAAGTAAATAAAAGCAACCACTACTCTTAGTGTAAACACATTTAACACATTTTAAAATCCTATCAGCTTCTATTTTTGTTACCATATTCGATTTTATTCGATTCTCTGCAAAATTTTGTATTAACCTCACCCGCTCTAGGTGTGTGTGTTAATTTCGAAACCATTCGATTAAGTTGTTTGGTGATTGAAGGAAAAGCGGTTGTAGGACAGCTGAGTTGGCATCGAAGTCCTTTCATTATTGTTATTATTAATCCTTTAGGTTTTGAGTGGAAAATTTAGCTTCGACATTTCTCTATGGCTTTTTTAGCTGGCTCCACGATTGTACTTTCATATATCCTCCATATCACTCTCAGACACACGTCCCACCGGTTGTTTCGCATTCGAGTTCCATTCTATGGCCTGGCGCTTAGTGTCCTCTATCTCCATTTTCTTCTGCATATCTGTTGAACAGTACATTTTTGGTCGGTTTATAGCCAGAGTTCCATGTTGATGGTTCTTTCTGGCTGGGGACAGTTATTGATGAAAGTCTCCAGTAGGCTGTTGTAAGTGCTTCTAGTGATGTGTGCGCCAAGTCTCTGAATCACATAGAAGCACTGGGTTGACTTCACTTTAGTATTGAAAATCTGAGTATTGTTCCTTATTCTGAGTGTAACAGACTTCCACACTGTGTATGTGTGTGTGTGTGAAATGAATTGAATAAAGCAACAAACAACCAATGAAACTTATCGCGTGCTATTACACGTGCTACAATTTCCTCCTTTCTTCCCTTCCCGATGATAGTTAACGAAATACTATTTGTACTTGTTAAGCATGACTGTTTTCCCTCCAGATGAAGTTCTTTTGATCTATGTTGTTTTATTATTATTGTGTGGCGCATCCTTCTTGGTGCCATATTGTACCAAATTTCTATGCGTTTAAATAAAATAAAATAAATTTCCACACTGAAGTCGTTTCATGAATTATCTCAGATGATTGGTATTTTCTGCTTAATAATAAATTCACCAATCATTTCACTTTATGTAACCCATTTCTCTGACAAGACAAGGTGTGATGCACTGATGAAACCTTTTGCTATTCAAGCAGACTTACTTTGCCGAATCCTTTTCATCAGTTATTTGGTTGTAATGTTGTTGTTGTTCTTCTTCTGCTAATTCTGAATAAGGCCAAATTAATTATACAACATCTTGGTATATGGAAAATAATAATCTAGTTGATAGGTTGTAAATGATTTTTCAATGTATATAGTAGTATAGTTTATGTACACAGCTATAAGATCGCAGTGGTAGATTGAATGTCTGAGGGTGACAATGGAGGAAATTATTTAAATAGAGGGGGTGAAGGCTTGTGGCCAGTCATGGATGTAGTTGAAAGAGATTGTAGACAAATGAGTACAATGGTGAAGTGTGTCATTGAACCCCTTTGTTCCACTCAGAACATACAGAATGACTAATAACAGTAAATAATTAATTTGTATGGCTAAATTTCTAGGGAATAACTCAGATGCACTCACTACTGATTGGTTGTCAAGTTAACTGCTCATCTTAATTTCACAATTATGCTTCATCGGTTGTTTTCTCCTGTTTTTTTTGCTTTCAGCGTTTTAGTTGGTTATGATCATATCTTGAAAATATCTGATTTCGGTGCATCTCGTGAATGGACAGAAAATTCTACTAAGATGTCTTTTACAGGTACAGTAGCTTGGATGGCACCTGAAATAATACGTAATGAACCATGCTCATTCAAAGTTGATGTATGGTAAGTTTTTTTAAATTACTATCAACTGTATGTAAGAAGATAGTTATATCAGCTGATTGCAAGATATAATGTATCTGTTTGATTAGTGATCGATATCAACCTAGCTGCACGAAATGTCCTAGCGGGGATGATTTCTTAAGTCAGTCGTTTGTTGATTAGCATTATTACCATTAAAACAAACTTCCTACATTATGATGAACACCATGAGAATACTCACAAAAAATCTCAGTTTGTGTGACGGCTGACAGACACACTATCCGGACATCCAGACTGAAACAAGTGGTTGTCTTAAGAGACCACTGCGTCGACGAACCCTTCACTCCAAGTCTGATCCACGAGGCAGTGAAGCAGCACAATGAGCTGCATCCTCATAGCTGTCGGTAGTCAAAACCCATATATATGCCATTCCATCCATTTGGATTATCGAGCCTATTTGCACTATAGCTTTAGAATTAGCATTTTGCAGCTCCGTTAAGGGTAGAACAGAGTATCCACCAGTCTGGTTGTAGGCGCCAGACGTTTGCATTCACCCTTTTACTCTAGTGAGGAATACCAATTTGTAAAGGTAGTGAATAAGATTTACGTTTGTAGTGTTGTCACTTTTAAATCTAAGGTCGATGAATATCGGCTTTTTATTCATTGTGGTTTTTTTTGTTCTTTAGCTTTCATTTATCTTCAAACCTATCGATAAATGTTTATGTATATCCCTTGTCTCGTAGACATTTTTCTGTGATCCATAGCTCCTCCTTCAACTCGTCTCTGAGACAAATCATTTTAGCCTTATGGTATAATCTTCTAACTAGTGCCTTCTTGTTGTTAATAGGATAAAAATTGTGTAAATTGATTTAAATTTCTCTTCATGTATTTTTTCGGTGGATGGATCTTTGCAATGTTCAGTCTGTTATACGTTTTATACCATTATGAGGGTTCGAACCCCGGTGGGTGCGTAGTGATGAAGATGCCCAAAATAGAATAAAACAGCTGTCCAGTACTTCCAGGTTTTCTAATTTGCCTCTAACCGATGTGAGCTCATGATGATATCCTGTAAGATTATTCATAAAGTCGAATTCTCCATCAACTTAATGTCTCATGATAAAATAATGTTCTGTCAGTATCAATAAAGTTTTCTAATAAATAGGATATAGGAGGTAAGTCATCAGCAGCAGGACCAGATGGAATCCCAGCAGAAGCATTGAGAATATACCCAGAGACAACAGTGGACTTGATGACACCACTACTGGAGAAGGTGTGGAAAGAGGGCAAAGTACCCGAGGATTGGAAGAAAGGATACTTATTCAAACTACCAAAAAAAGAGACTTAAGTCAATGCAAAAACTGGCGCGGTATTATGCTCCTGTTTATCCCAAGCAAAATACTAAGCCGAATCATACTGGAGAGAATCAAACACGCGCTGAATGAAAAACTTCGACCGGAACAAGCTGGATTCAGGCGAAACAAGTCACGTATTGATCAAATCGCCACACTACGGATCATCATTGAGCGAAGCTTGGAATGGCAGTCACCTCTCTATCTCACTCAACTTCATCGACTTTGAAAAGGCTTTCGACAGTGCAGCGTCGATCGAGAGGTGATTTGGTAACTGCTTCGCTACTAGGGAGTGCCGCCGACAATTATACATGTCATCCAACAGTTGTTCGACAATGCTGCGTGTCAAGTAATCCACAACAGGAAACTTACTGAAGCATTCGAAGTGAGGACAGGAGTGAGGCAGGTTGGCTGTCTACTATGGCCAATGATCTTCCTGATTGCAGTAGATTGGATAATGCGACGGACAACAGCAAACAACGAGGGAACAGGCATAAAATGGACTCACACAAAAAAGAACTTGGAGGATGTGGACTTCGCCGATGATATATGTCTGATTTCCCACAAACTGGAAGATATGCAAGTGAAAAGCAACAGGCTGACAGAAGAAGCATAAAAGATAGGGAGGACTTCACGTGAACATAGATAAAACAGAGGTGATGAAGATTCCTGGCCAACACCAACAGCAACAACAATAGACAACAATCAGCCGGCATAAATGGGAGGAACCTGAAAGAAGCAACCTCCTTCACCTACCTAGCTACCTGGGAAGCATCGTTTCAACTACAGGCAGAAAAGCAAGACAGGCTTTCATTACTCCTAAGTCCGTGTGGAGGTCAACAGCCCTACTCAGCATCAAAAATAAGATCCGGATTTTCAACTCCAATGTGAAGTCAGTGCTACTTGCTATACGGATCAGAGACTTGGCCAGCGCATCATAAAGAGCATCTCAAACAAACTTCAGACCTTCATCAACAGTTGTGTTCGCTCAATACTAACAATCAGATGGCTGGCCAGAAACGATCAGCAACAGGGATATCTGGCAATGAGCTAACCAACCAGGAACCGATTGTGTATCAATTGGCAGGAAGAAATGGAGATGGATTGGCTGGCCATACGCTGAGGAAACCATCAAGTGACATCATTAGACAAGCCACTGCTCGACTGGAACCCTAAATGGAAGCGGCGAGTTGGTCGTCAGTACAAGGGTGACTTGTAATAGGTCATGTGAATAGGAGATGAAAGCATGTGGGCAGACTTGGAGCGGGGTGAAAAAGTTGGCAGAAAACCGAAGGCAGTGGAAACGCGCAGCTGAAGCCCTATGTTCCTCTAGGTATTAAAGATATAATAAATAAAATAAACATACCTGGTGTATATGTGGTCATTAATTCAATTGTTTCTTTAACTTTGTTGTTCTTTGCATTCACCATCAATTCACAATTTTGTTTCACCCTTATTGTCATGCAATCAGTGTAGTTTAATCATTAACCGCATCCTTTAGCACATGTAAAATATATTTTTGTTAAAGATTGGCTGTGCAGACATATATGTTAGAGCTGCATTTAAATTTTGAAATTAGTGCAGCACTTCAATTGGTTATGCCTCATAAAATCACACACAAAGAAGAAATGCATAGACATAATAAACAGAAATGTACGGGAGAAGAAATAATTATGTGGCCAATAATGAAGGTCCATTGGATCTGAAAGTTCATAAAGAGTCAATGCATCTGCACCAATAAGAATGCAGTCAGGCGTCACTCAAATCCACAGTCGAAGAAGTCATGGATTGATGACAATTTGATTTGACCACCCCTAACTCTTTTCCAACCTAATTCTGTGTTAGTTAACATTGGTCGAGAAGAAACGCCATGGCTTAGGTGGGTGAAACATATCTTAGACATCTTAGTTGATGCAATTCCACAGCCTCAGTCGTTAATGTGCACACCTTACCTACTACTTCTTGCCTAAGTTCAATAACACTCACCAAATTATGCCTGTACACACGGTAGATAGAATATGAATATGTATGGTGAAAGAAAAACAACCTAATCAATTCTTCCACTTTCTGTGGCTGTCTCACAGTCATGAAGATAGACAGAGAGAAGTGCTGTGCAATATGCACGTTCATTGATAGAATAGATGACTGTAAATGGCGTTTATGCGTTAGATGATGTAAGTTGTCAAATGCCGCACGAGCCTTTTATATCCGTATTGAGATTTAGTCAGAAGTCAATCCAATGGGGGTTGATACAGGTCCCTGAATCGCTGTATTAGCCAACACTCTCATCTACCACACTCCCTATCTTAAAACTAAAGGTCTGTGGACACCAGTCTGGGAGTATAGTCTCTTATATTTGTTGGGGCGAATGGCATGGTAAACGTACTTAGATTTCTTCTTCTCATAAGACTCTGCATTTTGGCAGCATTTTTGCCTAGAAAGACAATAACATCCGCATATACGCTAAGTTGACGAGACTGTACCCTGACAACAAGTCAATCACCAAGTGTTGCTTTCATTCAAAATTAGTTATCTTTGTTTTGTTCAAATGTTGTGCATGTAACACCACTAATTAGTTTTATCGCACTTGCCGTCACACCCAGTACTTTTCTTTTATTGAACACAAATACATTTCATTTTTGTTTTACTAATGAGCAAAACTAAATTTCAATATATCAATAGTATTTTAACTCTTATAATAATTAGACATGGTGATATTTCTTGATTTATCATCTCTTTTTTTAAATTGTCTCTCTCTACTTAGTATATTTAATTTTCCCCGCCTTTTAAAAAAAATCTACTTAACTGATTTTAGAAGTGAATGAAAAGAAATCAGTCTGAGATCTCTTTACGTTTTTGGTATGCTTTACACCCTTACAATTTACTCTCTATCTCTCTCTTACGATAATATATTTTATCTGTGTGTGTGTGTGTGTGTGTGGATAGGTGGGTAGACATCTCTTCTTTGTATCTCAACAACTATATTAGTTCCTTTCTTAGCATATTCTTCTCATTTCCCCAATGCTTACACTACTTGTGTTGAAGTTTGTTTTGTGTGTGTGTTCGTGTCTAGTCTATGGAATACATATGTATATGCAGACTTTCTCTTTATTCTTCTTTGTCTTTGTTTACTTAGCTATTATGTGGATTGTTAAATAACATTTGGTTGTTTTGGCAACAAGCAGTCATTCATTGGTCAATCAATTCAGCAACACATAATTATGAAATTTTGTAAAAGTTTAGAATTCTTGTTTATTCAATTGATAGTTGATTGATTTTAATTGTGAAACCCTCACCAATAACGCCAAACATGATCCGGCTTCAATTTCCAACCGATGCAGTCCACATAACCTTGCCTAACCCTGAAGAGAGAAAAGATTGGGCTTTACGAGGTTAGCAACTCCGCCTTTGAAAAGTGAACAACACCACTGCTACTGTCTGTCTGTTTTCGACGTAGAACTCTGCACATATGTGCGCCAGTTCCAGTCACCACACTCCCTCCTTGTACCACACAAAGCAACAGAAGAAAGTATAAGAAATGCATAACAGAGACAGTGAGCAGAGGTGTGAGACAAAGGAAATAGTAGTAACGAAGATCAATATAGTTTCACTGGAAATCATGAGTCACAAGGAGTGGATGCATCTGCGCTAGCCAGCCATTGAGAACGATTTTGAGCCATGTCACCAATTGTTTCCAACCATTAGTTTCTACCGTCCAGAGGACCCCAACCAGTCAGGAAGTCTACACCTTCCTACGTGACTGGCTTAAACTAACTGTTGTAGATTTCATTGACTGGTGCCATGTTTTTGTTTGACCGCCGCTGGCTCTTTCCCAGGCTGACCATGTCAGCTGATGTTCCCTGTTGTCGAGGGAGGCGATGACTAGGCATGCATGTGTAACACATGTCCTAACCATCTCAGTCTATGTAACTTCACGACTTCGTCGATTGATTTCCTCTGTTTGCCTAGAACTCGACGCCTAACTTCAATATTGCTCACCTTATTATACCAATTCACACGGAAGATAGAACGCAGGCACCTGTGATCAAAGACAACTAGTCTTTTCATCCACTCTACTCTCAATGGCCAGGTCTCACTCACAGCCATAAAGGAGGACGGAGCGGACTGATGAACAGTACACACGCCCTTTGGTTGATAGTGGGATATCATGTCTACGCCAGAGACGGCGTAAACTGGCTGAAACCAGCCCCCTGTATTCGTGCTGAGATTTGGTCAGAGGTCAACCAGTTGGCACTGGCTGATGGTACTTCCCAAATAAGTGAAGCGGTGAACGTGCTCTACCACTTCACTTCCTACACCACTGCTACTAAAACCTCAAAGCTCAAGCCTGAAGTCCTATGTTCCTCTATGAACGCAATGAAATGATGTACATATATGAAGTATTGAGTGTTGGATTTCTGAAGCATTGTTTAGCGGTGTAAATGTTGGTACATTGTTTAATATGGATAAAACTGTAATATAATATAGGGTTTAAAGAGGATGGAATATACAAACGAAGTTTCAAAAGTGACGGGAGACTAGCATAAATGCATGACACTATATACTACTGATGAATGGTTGTGTATGCCACTCACTCGAGATGTGGTGACTAGACCCATCATCTTTTACAGTGAGGATTTCAAAAAACGGTACCATATCAAATCAACTGGTGTAAAGTTTATGCAAAAATTATTTCTTTCTTATATTTTTTTTATTGCCAGCATAACATAATGTTTTAATTGGATACCGAGTAGCAAGTAAAGTCGTACGTCTAGTCTTTCGTGTTGCAGACTGAATTCTGTCAGTCAAGTCTGCAATATGGCCACCAGTCTAGTAGGTGGCTCGCTGTCGCAATGCACTCTGAATTTTTACTATTATGTAGTTAGAGGCAGTCGGCTGAAAGCCTTAGAATTAACTTTCAGGCTTGTTTGCACTCATCAGCGAGCTAAGTTTATGCGCAAGCATGAAGGAATTCATATCCATTTGGAGATTTCAACCTGCATCATCTAGTACTGCAGTCAGAGACCAAGGCCTGGACGCATGACATTGGTTACTCCCTACTGAACAATCCATATATCCGTCATGGTTCTACAGATACCTGAATAAATCAGAGGTAACGTCTCTGACTACAGCCATTAGGTGATATAGGTTCAAATCTCAGAAGAGATATGAGTTCACTGAAGATTAGAGATTCGCCTTGCTTGACCAGTTCCAAAAAGCACAAAACCAAGGTCCAAGGCTTCCTGCCAATTAGTTTCAGTCATCTAATAATAAAATGCATACAAAATATCCTACTTGTTCCGTATAATGTTAGAATGAGTTTCATTCACAAATAATTGGTTGTAAGAAACGATTTATATATATCATACATGTCAGATAAATCAACCAACCATTGTGTATATTGATTAATCAAAATAAAAAAGCTCATCGCTATAACCCTTATAGAAATTGCACAATCTAAAGCAATTATCTCCCTTTATGAATTCTGATAAAAAAATAAGAAGACGTAAGATACTTGAGATGCGTCATATGTAATTGTACCACACATCCCAAACATTCTCATCTCACACATACATGCACTTGTTATACATATTTAAATAGAAAGTGACAGCCTAAAGGTAGAAATTTCCATCAGTTTAGGTGAAAATGTTCGCGGGTCATGATCATAAATAATAAGAGATAAGAAAATAAGATAAGGATTAGCGGGAAAAGGATAAAATAAACGATATAAAACTTCAAATTGAAGTATACGCTGAAGATGTTGCCTAGTAGTGCAATGAAAGTTTCGCAAATAAACCATCCAGCTCAGAGAACATAACTACATCAAGAACGATATAGAACCCTTTTTTGGATGTGATTGTGTTCTTTCAGCTAAGTGATTTAATTACCAAGCTTTCGTTGTTCTTCTGAATAATGTCTTCAACACGAGAACTTTAATATGAAGTGAACTTATTTGAATACTCCGTGTGAATGGTATTAATTGTATCTGTTGCCAACTTTTTCAGGATTAGTTGTTAATTTACATCCATATTGACTGTTTCTATAGGCTTGGAATTTGTACTTTACCATGTGGCTTATTCTTGATTTTCTATAGTTGGTTTTTAAGGGTTTATTCTTCTATTTTTACGAATTGATCACGGATTGATATTAGTCAGAGAACCACTGAAAACAAGGGATTACTGGGCAGCTGTTTCACCCCAGTTTGTGAATCATCGGCAGCACGCACCCACTAGGGTTTGAACCCAGGACCTTCCGATCACAAGGAAGGCTCGTAGACCATTCAACCACTGGGACCTAATTCAATGGCTCATGAATTCTAACGTCAACCAATTCGTGATTTAGCGCAATTTGATCTATAACAAATATGTCGGTTAATCGCTGATTTGTCTAAGTATCAGGTTTCTAGAAATTCTCTGTCATTTTTGATTTTTCTACTGTTTAAAATTCCTACATTTTTCCGATCCAAGTAGTTTTGATAGTTGTCTACATGCTTCATTCATATGAAAGAATAGATATCATGTTTTTTTTCTAACAGCTATTTTGTATTCTTGGATTCACAGTCGAAAGGGAAGCCTATTCTGATCATGTTTCAAGAGGTTTATCTTGTAGATAATACTGATCGTTTCTTAGGGTGATTGTATATCCTATCTCATTCATTCATTCAGAGATGCCAACAACACTGGTCCTCATCATTTTGAAAACACCAACTAGACAACCGAAATCCTCCTGTACAACTCAGACCAACGGTCACAAAAGTCTTGGGTCGATTTCCTCTTATAGCTTGACAGCTAACATTGCGTACTTGGGAAGATGATAGTTTGGATTGTTTAGCAGATTTCTCAATTACTCCAATCAGATAAGCCTCACCTAGTCATTAATTACTTCTTCCTTTATACATAGTTCTACATCCAATTGTTTAATATTTCTGAGTATTTGGTTTCATCACATGTGAGCGGTGCTGTGTTGGTGTCCATGATCAACTCCGGTTGTAGTCTTTTTAATCTTCTACTTTTAGCAACAGTGTCTTGTGGCTATAAAGTAGGATTGGATTAACCACTTTTTAGTAAAAGTAGAGCATATTTTCTATATTCATCTTGAAATTTCTGCAGCTTACAGTCAATATTTTTTTTACAAGGATTTGATTGGTGACAGATTTGACCATGAGCTGACATCAGTTAGAGGAACCATTATGAAACCTAGCAGTATTAGAGAGCTGTTCTGGCTTAGTTCGGGACTCTTCGGCAATAAGCACACGCTGGTGTTCGAATGTAGGGCATTCCACTTACAAGGCAAGTTCTTTGACCGCTTGATATTTGGGACCCGATCCAGTGGCTCATGAATTCCGCCTTCTGCCGATTTGTGATATATGTTGCACAACAGCCAGCTAATGTCATAGGCAAGTATGCATTATCTTACCTGACTTTGTGGAAGATCCTGGATTTGAAACCTAATGGGTGTGTGCTGTTTAAGAAGCCCATAATAGAACAAAACAACTATCCAGTACTACCTGGTTTTCAAGTGGTTCTGCAATCGATGTCAGTTCCCGATCAAACCCCTGAAAACTGATGCTTGAAAATGTTTTTCTTATTACTTCACTCTTTGTTGACTAGCTACGAATTGGTGAACTTCGGTTGTTTGTGGCATCATCATGCGTTATCATTTATGAGATACATATTGAGCAAAGTTAGATTATTGTTTCGAAAACTTCGCACTTTATATATTCATCCTTCTTTGCCTCCTCAAATCTCACCAGCCCTTTTCTAGCCAGCAATTTAGTTTACTAAAAATCGAAGTTTAAAGTATCAGACAAATATCATATGTGTTTGGGCAAATTAAGTTGTTGGATATTGGAATTCCTATATGGGGACTTCTGTGGTTGTCTCCATTTTAGATATCAGACCGCTCTATAACATTTAACAGAACAGTGTGAGATCAGCTACAGTTCAGTTTTATGAAATATTTTCTTGATATTTGTTTCACATGATGCCTTAATCAATCGATCCAGTCATTTTCTGCCTTCAAATGTTGAACTTCAGTAGTTTTCGTATGTTTGTGAAGGCGTTATGATTTCTACGTATTCCACAGTGTTCTCTGCCTATTTGATAAATTATTATTATTTTTTTTCACTTTTCATTCATATACTGTGAATAGTAATTCATGATATTTCTTTCTTGTACTTGATTGATTATCCTGCTTAGGTCTTATGGTGTACTTTTATGGGAGTTATTAACGGGTGAAGTACCCTATCACAATGTCGATTCAACCGCTATTTTATGGGGAGTTGGTAGTGAACATCTTCGGTTACCAGTCCCAATGACATGTCCTACTGAATTACGTGTACTTATGAAAACATGCTGGTAAGAATGGCAGGATTTTTTTTTAACAAATAATATGTTATGTTCTATACTGCCTTTTTAATTATTTTGAATATTTTCACGTATTGGTTTTGTAGGGATTTTGTTTGATTGTATGGAGGATTTCACCATGAGCTGACATCAATTAGAGTATGCGTTGTATTATTACTTTACTGATGTTATAGCCAAAGAAACAGTAGTTTTAAGGACAATATCTACATCGAAGCCATTGACATATTAGCTTGCCTTGGCGTTAAATTCATATATTCAGAATTCCTTTTTTTATTATGATCAGGTTATCTAAGGTAGCATTGGATGTTAATGAGTAGACTCAAATATATTTTTTTATCGAAGTGAGTCGATTGTCCAGTGGCAGATTGCTTGCCAACGACGCTTCAGGTGATCCGGGTCCGATTCCCAGCCGACTCACTGATAAACCTCGCTTAGTCCGGTAGTAAGCCTAGTAAAGTGGGGAGGTTGGGGGTATGAGGCTACTAAACCCATCTTGTAAAAGGAACACCACTGCTATTGAGTGATCTTCCTGATTGCAGTAGATTGGACAATGAGGAAACAGGCATAAAATGGACTCACACAAAAAACTTGGAGGACCTGGACTTTGCCGATGATATATGCCTGATTTCCCACAAACTGGAAGATATGCAAGTGAAAAGCAACAAGCTGGCAGAAGAAGCATCAAAGATGGGAAGGGCATCAGGTGAACATAGATAAAACAGAGGTGATGAAGATTCCTGGCCAACACCAACATCAACAACAATAGACAACAATCAGCCGGCATAAATGGGAGGAGCCTGAAAGAAACAATCTCCTTCACCTACCTAGCTACCTGGGAAGCATCGTTTCAACTACAGGCAGAAAAGCAAGACAAGCTTTCATTACTCTCAAGTCTGTGTGAAGGTCAACAGCCCTACTCAGCATCAAAACGAATATAAGATCCGAATTTTCAACTCCAATGTGAAGTCAGTGCTACTTGCTATACGGATCAGAGACTTGGCCAGCGCATCATAAAGAGCATCTCAAACAAACTTCAGACCTTCATCAACAGTTGTCTTCGCTGGCCAGAAACGATCAGCAACAGGGATATCTGGCAATGAGCTAACCAACCAGGAACCGATTGTGTATCAATTGGCAGGAAGAAATGGAGATGGATTGGCTGGCCATACGCTGAGGAAACCATCAAGTGACATCACTAGACAAGCCATTGCTCGAGTGGAACCCGAGAGGGAAGCGGCGAGTTGGTCGTCAGTACAAGGGTGACTTGTAATAGGTCATGTGAAGTGGAGATGAAAGCATGTGGGCAGACTTGGAGGGGAATGAAAAAGTTGGCAGAAAACCGAAGGTAGTGGAGACGTGTGGCTGAAGCCCTATGTTCCTCTAGGAATTAAAGGATATAATAATAATACTGCTATTGAAACTTCATAACTGAATAGTTAAGCCCTGTCTTCCAAATGGAACGCAAAGGAATAAAAGAGATCCAACTACACATTCGAATTCGTTTCAACAGAGATCATCCTAGCAGTATAGCAATTCCTAGAACTAGATGATTTAAAGCGTCTGAGTTTTTGATTGGTTAAAGGAGAGTATTGTCATAGTGTTATATATCTATTAGCTCATTAAAACGCATTGATCGATAGTAGAGAAATAAATTGGTTATCATTTGGTTGTTTGTTTGTTTTTTTCAATACGAAGACATAAACAAGAGTTTACAATCTTGATCACGCATAATAATATTTTTAGAACTTTCGAGTGTTGTATAGGTGGTAGCGTCACCATACAACTGCTGGTCCACCGTTCTTATCTTGGGATGTCTTATTTTAACTAAATGGATGTATGAAGAATACAAGAGGTTAGTAGGGAGAAAGCTCAGAAAACAACATTATAACTGGGTGAGGAAGAAAGCATTGATAATCATCAATAGATTTCATGCATCATTGATGTTAGGTTTCAAGAAATTAATGAGGCAGAAAATTCTGAATCTATATCTCCTGAATGTCAGAATTCACCAGCAGTTTTTGTCACTACCCCAATCAAAACTTGTATTACGTGTGAAATTCGTTCTAACCCGTATCCCTCAGCGTTTCGACATAGAACTTTGCACATATGTGCACCAGGCCAAGTTGCCACACTCCATTTACCCCACAAAAGTAGAGAGGGAAGAGAAGAGTAGATTCAAGAGAACTATACTAAACGTAAAATTGTGGAAGAGAGAAAACGTTGTAACTTGGAAAGACACGAGGGTTTAATGAATATTGGAGGTCAAAAAGAGTGCACGCATCTGGGCCACTGAGAACGACTTTGAGCCATAATACCAATAGCCTCCATCCATTTACTGTAAGAGTCTCTATGACTTCAGTCAAGTAGTATGCACCTGCGTACATCATTCTAATTGTAAAATACTTTATGGAGTGATTCCACTTGTTCCAACCCAATCCGCTAAAGTTGCCTGTCGAAGAAGTCAGTGGATTGGTATTTGCAACACGTTATCTAACCATCTTAATTGATGTAGCTTAACAACCTGGTCGATCGACTTCCCCTCCTTACCTAAAACTCTACATCTAACGTTAATATTGGTCACTATATTATACTATTTCACACGTGAGATAGATTGTAGATGGATGGCCTTTTCATATTTACCATTTCCTACGGCTATGTCTCACAGACATAAATGAGGACTGAACGAACAGCTGCGTAGTACAAAATTCTTTTGATCGACCGCCATACACCAGAGATGAATTAACTTGTCAGATGCCACGCTAGCCTTTCGTATCCGTTGTGAGATTTCGTCAACAATCCATTCATAAGGGATGATTTAACTTTCCAAATAACTGAAGTGGTTAATACGGTCTACCACTTTACTCCTTGTATTTAAATTGCGAGTGGGTACTGGCCAGTCCTGCAATACCAATTTACCTTTGCCTTGAGTGATTTGTATGCCAAACATTCGTAAATTCCTACTCAAGGTATTCAAAAGATTCTGCATTCAATCAGCGTTTTCATCTAGGAGGACAGTGTTACCTTGACACTTCACAATGAAAAAACTGTAACAAGTCTATCATTATATAGTTAAAACCGAGCGGTCTTATTCATTAGTACATCTATGGTGCAATTTACCAAGAATTGGGACAGTTAACAACCATTGCAGTCATTACTGGTGGTCATCACTTCAGGTGGCAACTCTTCCTAAGCTTGTACACCTTCCTTTGGGTCTCGAGTGAAACATAAGGCTTCAACAGCAATTCTCCACTTTGTCCTTTCTTCTAAGGCCTTCTTTAAATGGCTTTGTGACTGACTATGGTCTTTCATCTCCTCCTCACACGATCTCCTCCATGTGACTTCCCATGGACTTCCCACTCGTCGTTTCCTATTCGGATTCCACTCGAGCGATAGCCTAGAGCGCGATGTCATTCGATAGGCTCCTCAGCGTATGCCCAATTCATCTACATTTTTCTCTTACACATTCGTTGGACGAAAGGATCTTGGTTAGTTTGTTCCGATAGTTTCTTGTTGTTAATTTTTTCTGGTCGTCCATTTGATCTTCATTCAGTGTGGATGGAGTAGTCAACGAAGTAGACAGCTCTTAATAAAAGTATGCAGGGGACTGTGTTGGAAATGCTTTTTGTTTTGCACAGTGGAAGTTTCTGAGCCATATGGAAGAAGTGACTGACTTAACGTTGGTGTTGAAGAGAATTCGAATCTTGTTGTTTATGGTGAAGCGGAGTGAAGCAGAAGATTTGCAAAGAGATTTCAGATTGATGAAGGTGTATGTTGCCTTGTGTATGTGATTCTGGCTTCGATGTCTTTCTTTATCCGTTCCCTGTGTGGTTGAGACAATGCTTCCCAGACAAGTGAAATTTGTGACCTCTTTGGAGGAATTTATGGTTGATGGTGATTGGTGCTGTCTGTTGTTGTTGCTGTTAGTTGGTTGGCTAGTTATCCTTACCACCTCCGCCGATGGTGAGATCTTCATATGGATACAACCGTGTATGTGACCGGTGACCGATGTCATACCGGTGACAATGGTGCTTCTTATATTTCAGGTACTTGAAAAAGAGGCAGCGACAGATTGGTTTAGGCGATTGACTTCTAACCGGAGGGTGACCGGTTCAAGCTGCACTGCAGTTTCGGAGGTTTGAATAAACAGCTGGGATTACTAGCCCTTATGCGGTAGATGTGGTTCATTTTCAACCCTGCATGAAACTGCAAGGGGTTATTCAGTAACATTTCATTTCATCAAGCGAAAATCAACTCCCATGGTGTTGGTAGCGGGGAACTAATGATCGGCTACACACACAAACACACACACACTTCGAACACCACTCAAAATGATTCGTCTAGATAACACTATAGTTGGTATATGTATCTGTCATTATCTTTACATCTATTTAAGCCTTGTCAACCTAGACACACTATATACCCAGTTGTTAATGTACGCTAACGTCACCATGGTTATTTGATTAGAAATGTAATTTTGTTAATTTATTAATTAAGCAAAACTAACTCCATTTTTTATGCGGAATGAGGTTAACTATATTTAAGGTAATGGTGGTGGAATTACCCTGTCTTCTGACTAAATAGGCGTTTCCTATCAAAGTATCGTGGTATGTTAGTCATTAGCCTTTTTAATGAGCATAAACAAACATCCTTATAATATACAGTTAGCTAGCTACCCACATATTTCTCTGTTCTGATTTGTTGTAGGTTATGAAGATAATATTGGCTGGTTTATTCTACCACTACTATTCGGATAGTATATTTCCAGATCATAACAGTTCTAACAATAGATGATGTTAATTGAGGTGATACAATGTGTTGCTTCCTTAACAGTATGTGATGCATGAGATATTACTCACCAAATTACCCTTATAGTAGTCTAACCATTAAACTTGATCTGAATTTCATCATTAAGAGGTTAAAGCCTTGGCTATCCTCCAATAATGTCACAGACAAGATGTATTCTGCATTAGTCGCTTTCAGATTTCTAGGACGTAATTTCAAATTTAGACAGTTCGACGAGCCGAAGTTTCACCAAAGTTTTCTTTAGAAGCAGAAATTATTCAGATAACCTCAATATGTGATCTGCTTGACACCATGAATAGTAATCAAGTAGGCCAAGCAGAAGTGCGTGACACTATATACTACTGATTGATCGAGATGAGTAGTTGTATACCACCACTCAGGTGAACCAGTAGTACTTGCTACCTTGATACCTCTTAACTGACTTAAAGTATTGCCAGTCCGTCCAAGTAGTTAGCCAGAATTCGGTCTATATAAACTGATTTAATCTCTCTGAGTGGAATCACACCGGGTAAACTGTTGATAAGCTTGACCTGAGAGAAGAGAGACGGTCGTCCAGTGTTTAGATCATTTCGATCTGGCTGACTAACAACCACTACCGGTTGATGTGAGTGGTATACACCCAGTCATGTCAATCAATCAGTGTTATAATAGTGTGTCTCAAGAAGTCCACTATTATATCCGTTTTATTCATAGAATCATTGTTTAGAAGTATTCTCATATGGATATCCTGGGTACGCCTACCTCTCTGCCTTATGATGTGTTGAAGGCTTTTTTCACGAATGCCTTCTTAAATCATTGGGTAAAATAATTTTCGACAGGACACATTGTAACAAGTTTACTCAGTTATACTTTGATTTGATTTAGCCACGTCTTTTACGCTTTTTAAGAACAATCTGTATTCATATGCATTTTTGAAGAGTAGATCAAACAAAATCCCATCGAATGATGATGATATACTGTTGATTACTGTTTTAACTGAAGTTTCTGTACTGAACTGAATATTCTGTAATGTGTATAAATAAACATGATGTTCAAAATAAGGCTATCTCAATCATACATCACCATTATTCATCAATTAACTTCTGAATACATGGTCAGACATCGTCGAAGCATCTGCACAAGAAGCCGACATGTCAACCTGAGACTGAGCACTTTTCGGTCCAATCGATCGACGGGGTAATCTAAAATTGAATTAAATAAGCATAGTGTTTACAGTATAGTTACAATCCTTCCTTTACTTCCTGTTTTAGTAGTAACTTTTTCAAAACGTATATGTGTATTTTGTGTTTGTGTGGGCGGTTAGGTGTATATATATTTTTCTCACGTGTTACGGTGTTATTCTGTTTTAGTTTGTGTGTGGACTACAAGTAATGGTTACCACAATAATAATAATAATAATAATAATAATAATAATAATAATAATAATAATGCGATGAATATTCTTGACACATATTCAAATGATAACTAATAGTTGATAAAATTGGAATAGAAGCCGATGTGTGCCTAACTCTCTGTCTATGTGTGATGGTTATGGGATATTTCCACCAATTATTACTTAATGGGGTAAAATCACTCACTAACTAGCTGTGGAGAGGTAAATTTAATTACATGCCTCTCTGCGAGGCTACAGTCTTTTGACTAACGCTTGTTTCAAGTTTAATCACTAAATGACTTCAGTTAGAGAATTACTGGAAAGCAGGAAGTACTTGATGGTTGTGTCGTCCCTATTTAGGACTCTTCATCCGTATGCACCCATGACCCTACTGTCAGGAGAGTGAATCCAGGACTTTCAGACTACAAGATGAGCCCACTGACCATTTATCCACTGGGACGGTATCCAGTGTAACATCATTTGTATCATCTGCCTATTCCCGATATAAAGTGCGACCGCCACTTATTGTCATCGGTGGATATCTGTCCTCATGACTCACTTGTTTCACTCTGCTAGTCACAACTTCCCAGGCAACTTCATCCTGTGACTTAGTCAACTGCTAAACGTATCTCTTCGTCTGACTGAAGCTTTAGGTGTTTATTTGAAAAATAGTAAAAGCTCACTATATAACCTGAGCATATTGTACGAAATGACTTTCCGAGGTTTCAGAACTGACTTCATAAAATAAAGCAGATCCTTAGATTGTCGATTTTCTTTGTATCTGGTATTCATGTTTATATATTTACTTAAGTTAGAATGTTGATTTCGCAAGTTTGTGTGAGTTATTGATTGATTCTATTATACCGCAACTCTTTGTGAGGATAGACCCTAGTACGACCACTTCTAAGATGCTTTAAAATTAACTTGATGTTACTTAGTTGCATTAATTTTATTTTTTTAAATTTTTGATTACAGCTTGATTCCACATTGTAGTTTTGGTACAAGTATGGAATTTTCAGCAAGTATATCGGTGGCCCAAATTTCGCAGGCCGACCATAGATATTAGGTGTACGTCGGCGTGGGCTCGAACCTCGGACCATGTGCATGGTTGGCGAGAGTCCTAACCATGTGCCACCAACGCATGGTGCTATGTACTACTTATTTATTGACATCAGTGGTTGGACACTACTCACACCAACCTGTAGTATTTGCTAGCCAAATTAAAGTGCAGTGAACATCAGACAGCCGTTTCGCTAGTTCGTGGCAGAGCTCATCAGCAGTATACCCGATTAGACTGAGCAGTGGGATCTGGATCCCGGCTAACTACTTATGCCGAGTGGCAATAAGTTGCTTTCTTGATTGCTATTTATGGTATCACAGATAAATAGCCTGGTATGACTGAGGCTGGGTAGACTTCAGATTTTCCCTCAAAACGTTCTCATGTGGCCATGCGTCCAAAGCCTCTGTCAGGTAAGCCTTCTGGCGACCTGTGTGTTCCCCACAGAAGTGAAAGGGCGAATCCAAACGTCTCGCGTTTTCAACTGGACTGGTGAATATACAAGTGTACTTAGGGTAACTTTAAAACCCTTATTCCAAACCTATGGTGTGCATTGATTGCGGAATCCAAAAGCATAGTGTGGTGTATGAATCTGTTTTAGTTACTGGTAACCATGGTAACGTGACTGCCGACGCTACTCCACTGCCTTGTGAATCGATCTTGAACTCAGAGGCTTGGATTAGGGCCGAGAAGATCACACAATGTTGTCTGAATAAATGTGGTTTTCAAAGGAAACTGTGTTGAGATTTCATGAATTCACCAATTGCGAAGTTGATGTTGCTTAACCTGCGGTTACCAGCAATGGAATCCAGAACCCAGATTTCTTTCTGTTTAGTTCTCATTGATTGCATTTAGATACATCACCACCTATGCCTATTACCGCTCACGAGCATGGTGTTCTGTATCTTCATGGGAAACGACCTTTCTGAAAGATAAACTTTACGGACTACCTGATATTTTTTTATGGAGATAGGTTTTAGTTCTGAAAAATTATGCTACTTTCAAATTGTGAGTAGGTAAAATATTTCACCGATTGAATTCAGTAAACGATAAACGACGTAGATATCATAGGTTTCCAGACCGTAGTTGTTACTAGATATTACTTTCTTGCGAATTGAATCCATATTTGATTGGATGAAGGATTTCATCATGAGCTGACATCTGTTAGAGAACCACTGGAAAATCTGAGAGTACTGGATAGCCGTTTCGTCCTTGTTTGGGACTCTCTAGCAGTACGCACTCACCGGGGGTTCGAACCTACGACTAAATCCCTACAAAACCAATGCCTGTTTTCATATTCGACAATTTTTTTCTGGCGGGTGTTAGTTAAGTAGCTGAGTAACCTGTGTTGTTTGCCTATGAACGTTTGTTGAGGAGTGTCTGGTAAACGTGTTCAGTGTGATTTTTAAGCATGATAACTCATCCTCTAACTGAATAAAACGGTTTCGTGAACAAATTTTTGTTTAATTTCGGAAAAAGACACTGTGAATCAGTATTGTCTCAGCACTTGGTGGATGCATACTGATGAGGAGTCCTAATGTAGGACGAAACAGTTGTGCAGTATTCTCAGGTTTTCTAGCGGCTTTTGTAACTGATGTCAGTGTCTGACTAATCCTGTAACCAATCAAATCCTTGAAAATGGACATTTACTAGTCAGCCTTATAGCGAGTAATAAGTTTTATTTGGCTAACAGAGAAGTATAATTTGTCAAGACTTTATATAATGTTTGATTAACCAGACGAAAGCAAGTATAATAAGGATAACGCCTGTTAAGAGAGACTATTTTATCTGAAGCGTCACCATTTATTGTTGTATGCCTTGATACACGATATTACTATTCCCTTGGCTTACGAATCGAACATAGAACTTCAACAGAACATCTCCATGCTATCCTCTTTTCTGCATTCCTTTTTATCTGGCTCCATGATTATCTATAAGCATCCATTTTCTCCCCACACAATACCCTCTATGTCACTCTTGGACGGTGAACTCGGTGTTTCCAAGTGGAGTAACCCTTGAGGGCGTGACTAGCTCGTGATGTCACTCAATGGTCTCTTTAGTGTATGTTTGAGCCATCTCCTTTTTCATTTAGACAATGTGCAAACAGTAGGTATAGAGGCATAGGAGAAAATAATTTCTATCTCATATCCATAAGATAACAAAGTGTTTGCTTTTATAATAAATTATACAAAAAGACTGAAATACGAAATTACAACACAATGTGATAATGATAATAAAGAAAGATTAAGTGATAGAGATGTTTCTATAAGTCGTGAACTGACAGAAGTTAGAATTCATAGATCGGTCACTAGATCCCATCTCATTGACTAAATGGTCAGTGTACTCACCCTATAACATGAAGCTGCTTGGTTTGCCCCTCGTTAGGGTCATGGTTGTGCATTGCTGAAGAGTTCCATACTAGGAGGAAATATATAGATCGGGTTGAAATATTTTCATGATAACTGCTCTAGCTAAGCTTAGCAACCGAAGGCGTACCAACCTAAGGAATTGACGTGTCATCTTGTATAAACAGAATTTGTAAGCCTTGAATTTTCGTCAGTCGTGTGCACCGTATCCTCTAAGTATGCCAATATTGTATATAAATTTGAGTAATTGAATTTTGATAAAAATGAGTCGATGTAGTTAGTTTTTTATTTTACATTTTAGTCACGAACATGTATTACAAATCTTATAAAGACTGTTCACTTTCATTTCTTGTTTCTTCTCACCTACTTTCAATAGGAATATTAAACCTGGGAATCGTCCTAGTTTTCGTCAAATCCTTTCACACTTAAATGCCACTTGTTCAAGTTTACTACAGTATACAGATGATGAATTTAATTCCCTACGTCAGTTATGGAAAGAAGAAATCGCTATCTACCTAGAAGTAAGTGTTCATTGGTCATTTTTTGTTTTCCACTGCTTGCTTAGAGCTTCCAAGTGTTAGTATCGATGAATTTTTTTTTCAAGGGTCTCATGTGCAACGTTCTGTCTTTTCTAGGCTTATTAACGGCTGGTGAGTTGTACCGGTTAGTAGTGCGTTGGACAGGAATGGTTTTGCGTGATTGCCAAGCATTATACCATTGAACCTCTAATGATCAAAGTTGCTCACGCGTCGCAAGGTAAATCCTGGACGCGTAGGTGAGAACCTGTAATCCTAATCTCTAGACTACTTGGAATAATTGGTACACATATATGTATACAGTGTCAATGAGGAGTGAAGACTTAAGTTTCATGAAACCTTTTAAACGGATGGTGTTTCTTTACTTATAGTCATCAGCATTATTGCAGTTTGTGGCGCCTGTTCTGTTAAGTGATGAAATCATAGAGCTCATTACAAAGAGCAATAGAAAGTATAGTTGTAATACACTGTTAGTCTGTCCGTACCAGTCAGAGTGAAAGAGGGCTTCACTTTGAGTCGATCACACCTCCTATTTTCGTATATCAGAAGACTTAGCGTGGTTAATCTGTGCCACTTCAATTACACTGAATTTCTGATAGTTAACCAATCCTGATTTTTACTCAAGTATTTCGCATATCTAATTGGTTTGGCCAATGACCAAAGTCTTTTTTTTCCTGAATCATCATTAGGAATTAACTTTTCAAATTTATTTATCCTAAACATTTAACAGGTCTTATTTGAATGTGTCTAGGTGTCTATTGTATGGAATTTATTTTAATAAATCTAGTGCTCACTAGTTACTGACTACAAAATGAAGTTGCTTGAAGTCGTATTGAGAAGTCAGGATCAGTAGGGTCCACCAATTTGCGTACGACGACAGATACTCACTGATGTCGCTGACTGACGTTTGTGCTAAACATCTCGAATTAGCAGAATTTAAAACTTATGGGCTATTGGTTCTCCTCCCAGTGGTTAAATAGTCTACCAGATCGCCTAGTAACCACCTTGTGGGGGTGTGATACAGACCTGTTTGTGCCAACGGAATATTATACCCGCATATTCCAAAAGTTCGATTTGACATTAACAACAGACTACAAAATATCTATTTGAACATTCTATTTGATGTTAGAGAAAGAATACATTTCCCATGGATATATATACTGCATTAACAAAAGAATACTATGTACATTTGAACATTCTATTTCATGTCGTTTGATATGAACAAAAATGCCAAGTTCAGTGATTGGTTAACGAATATAAACAATATATATATGAACAGCGGTTTGATTGATGAAAAATATACCTTGGCTTTCGCGTCTTGCCTTCTGTTGTTACAACCTGAAGGTTCTATCTTCGATGACTGGTAGTGGTCATGGGTACGTAATAATGAAGAGTACCGAAAAAGGGCGAGACAAGTGTCCAACACTCACTCACCAGTTTTCTATGGTCCGCTAACTTAAGGCAGTTCGTAATAAAGCAATTGGTTCCCTTTATGAATTTCGACAAAACAATAAGAAGACGTAGTTTATCTGAAACGTGTAATGTATTGGCGCAACACATTTCGGACATTCTGATCACACACGTACTTGTCATACACAGTTTTTATATAAGGCAAGAAAGCATGAATAATTACAATACAGGTCAGATTGTGTACAGGTCAAGGTCACAAAATAATGGGTAGGGAGACGCAAAAAGTGTGGGTAAGAAAGATAAAGGGAGGAAAAAAGGCAAAGAAAGGGTTTCAAAGTATTATGAAGTAAATTGGTCCTTGGTTCTAAGTTGGACCTGCCTTGGTAATCCAACTTAGAACCAAGGACCAATTTACTTCATAATACTTTGAAACCCTTTCTTTGCCTTTTTTTCCTCCCTTTATCTTTCTTACCCACACTTTTTGCGTCTCCCTACCCATTATTTTGTGACCTTGACCTGTACACAATCTGACCTGTATTGTAATTATTCATGCTTTCTTGCCTTATATAAAAACTGTGTATGACAAGTACGTGTGTGATCAGAATGTCCGAAATGTGTTGCGCCAATACATTACACGTTTCAGATAAACTACGTCTTCTTATTGTTTTGTCGAAGTTCGTAATAAAACTTATTATTATTAATATTGTTCCTTTGGGTTCCTAGTGGACGTCTCCACTTGCTTCTGTCTTCTGCTGTACTTTTCACATGCATTCATGTTAGTCCATGCTATTTCAATTCCTCTTCACACGATCTCCTCCATGTCACCCTTGCACTGACGACCTACTCGCCGCTTCCCTTTCGGCTTCCACTCGAGCAATGGCCTGACGCGCGCGCGATGTCACCCAGCGGCGGCCTCCTCAGCGAGCGAGTGCCCAATCCATCTCCACTTTCTCCTGCATATTTATTGGTCAGCGATTGGTTGTTGTTTTGTGTGTTCCCACCCATAGCTTCTTGTTGGTGATTCTTTCCGGCCCGGCCATCTGATCTTCAGTATAGAGCGATAGTTGACAGTTGTTGGTTGATAAAGGTCTGCATGCAACCTGTTGGAAATATTCTTTGTGACCCGCCTGCCCGCCAAGTTTCTGATCCGTTCCGTATAGAAGAAGTGACTGACTTGACGTTGTTTGTATTGAAAATCCGACCGAATTTTGTTGTTGATTCTGGCTGAGTGACGATAATTTCCAGATTGGTTTCAGGTTGATGAATGTGTTTCTCGCCTTCTTGATTCTCGCTCGATTTGACATCCTCGTCGGTTCCTCCTGTAGTTGAGACAATGCTTCCTAGATAAATGAATGAAGTAACTTCTTTCAAATCCCTCCCGTTGATGGTGATTGGCGCTTGATGTTGCTGCTGCTGCTGTTGTAGTTGGTGGCGGTTGATTATTTTCATAACCTCCGTCTTGTCTATGTTCACCTGGAGTCCTGCCTTCGCTGGCTGCTTCTTCGACCAGTTTGTCGGTTTTCGTTTGTTAGTCTTCGATTTTGTGTGACATCAAACGTAAATCATCGTCGCGCGAAATCCAGGTCTTCTAGGTTCTTCACGTTGGTCGGTCCAGGATATTCCTGTCTTCTGGTTTCTAACTGGCTGTCTGACGCATAATCCAGTCTACCACAATTAGGAATATCACTGGTGATAATGGGCAGGCACCCTTGTCTGACTCCTGTGTTTACTCCAAACGCGTCGCTGGGTTTTCCGTTGTGGACATGGACTTGACATGTTCCGTTATCGTACAGCTAGCTGTTGATGAATATTTTGGGCACTGTACGCCGTAGTTCTTGAGTAGTTTCCAAATTACTTCATGGCCAACGCTGTCTGTCGAAGGCCTTCTCAAAGTCTATAAAGTTGAGGTAGAGGTTTGATTGCCATTCCATGCTTTGTTCTGTGGTGATGATGTGTAGAGTTACAATTCGGTCAGAACATGACTTGCCATTCCTGAATCCAGCTTCTTCTGGTCGGAGTTCTGCATCCAGTGCGTTCTTTATTCTCTCCAGGATGATGCGACTCAGGATTTTACTTGGCGTCGATAGGAGCATGATTCCTCGCCAGTTCTTGCGGAGAGAGTTCTAAGTCTCCCTTCTTTGGTAGTTTCACGAGGTAACCCTTCCTCCAGTCATTAGACACGTTTCCTTCCCTCCAAACCTTTTGCAATAATGGAGTCAGCATATCTGCTGTCGTCTCTGGGTCCGCTTTCAGTGCTCTAGGGGGTATTCTGTCTGGTCCAACTGCTTTCCGGGCTTTCAGAAGCTAGATTGCGTTCAAGACATCAGCTCTTGTTGGAGGATTGGTGTCAACTTGGAGTTGTGTACGTGGTGTTGTTGGTATTTGTGGACGGGTTGCAGGTGGTGGTCGTTTCGAAAGTCCTTTGAAGTGATCTGCCCATTGTTTAATTTGTCTTTCTTCCTTGGTAAATGGGTTCCCTTGGCTGTCTTTTATAGGTTTCACTTGTGTTGATCTCTTCCCGGATAGAGATTTGGTTATCTGATAGAGTGTCCTCAGGTCTCTTTTGCCTGCTGCCTTTTCAGCTTCAGTGGCCAGGTTGTCGTAGAATTGTCTTTTGTCCTTCCTAGCGCTCTTCTTCACTTCTTTGTCCAGTGCTGTGTAAGTTGAGCTCAGAGAGTTCCCATGGTCTTCCACGCATGATTCTTCGGTGATGTCACGTAGTGTTTCCTGCTTTGCTCTGACAGTTGGAGTGAAAGTGTCTTTTGTGGTTGTGTCCTTCAGTTTTTGAATGTTGAACTTGCATTGTGGCCTATCCCCAGCTATCCTCAAGGTTTTTAGCTTCACCTTGAAAGTCCCTTGTACTAGATAGTGGCCTGAACCCACATCTGCTCCTCTCCTTGACCTTGTATCCGGTAGGCTCCGTCTCCACTTTCTTGAAATTGAGATGAAGTCTAATCGGGTTCTTGGTGTTTCCAACTGGTGAAATCCATGTCGTCTTGTGTATATCCTTGTGTTTGAACACACTACCGCCAATCACCAAATCATTGAATGCGCAGAAGTCTGAGAAGAGTTCACCATTGTCATTCATATCGCCGAGGGCCTCACGACCCATGGTGAGTTCTCTTCCTGTATTGTCTCCTCCCAGCTTCGCATTCATGTCGCTCATCAGGATTTTGATATCGCCATTTGGGACGTTGGCCGCTGTTGCTTGTAGTTGTCTGTAGAACGCCTCCTTCTTCTCTTGTTCTCAGACGTTTGTAGGCGCACAGCATTGAATGATTGTAGCCTTCCTTCCTTCCTTTTGAGTTGAACCTGGCTGTCATTATCCTGGAGGAGATTGGTTCCCACTGCATGAGATGAGAGGTTTGGTTGCTGTTGGTGATATCATGATGGCCACTCCCTCGGTGTGCTCATGGTTGTCCTCTGGGTGTCTGGAATAGATTACTGTCTCTCCAGTAGGTAGTTGCCACCTTCCAGTTCCGTTCCATCTGCTCTCGCAGATTCCCAACACTTCTATTCTATATCTCCTCATTTTGGCGGCTATCTGGGCAGCCTTTCCAGCTTCGTACATTGTA